GCGACAACCTAAAAATTTTGCAAACTGAGTCAACGTTTCAAATAAATGTTTAAAGGAAACTGTTTCCCCATTCAAAAAACAAGTTGTGTCATCTGCAAAAAGACTTATCTTCTGTTCAAAGTTGCCAACTGAAATTCCCTTTATCCCCGGATTGTGTCGTACTGAAATAGCCAGAATTTCAATAGCTAGTATAAATAAAAGAGGGGATATTGGGCACCCCTGGAATATTCCTCTTTTAATTGCAACCGGATTGGACATAAAACCATTGTTTAACACACAACTAGTTCTATCATTGTAAAAAGTCCTTATCCATCTTATAAAATTGTCTCCAAAATTAAAATAGTCCAAGACTGAAAATAAATAATCATGTTCTATTCTATCAAACGCTTTCTCAAAATCTAACAAAATAATTGTAGCTGGCTCATTCATATAGTCTGTATATTCAATTAAATCAATTATAACCCGAATATTGGCCCCAATGTTGCGTCCCTTCATAAACCCTTGTTGATCTGTATGTATCAAAGAATTTATACAAGACTTCAAACGGGAGCTCATAACTTTGGCTAATAATTTATAGTCAACATTCAGTAGAGAGATAGGGCGATAATTCTTCACTAACAATGGATCCTTACCCTTTTTTGGAAGAAGCGTGATTATTCCACTTCTTTGAGATTGTGATAAAATTCCTTCTTGAAAGGAATAATTATAAGAGTGGAGTAATAAATCTATGATATCATTGAAAAAGGTTAAATAAAATTCACAAGGAAGGCCATCTAGTCCTGGACTCTTATTTGTTCCCATATTCTTTAAAGTAGTCCAAAGTTCATTTTTGGTTAAAGGTCTGTTTAGAGCAGAAATTGAATCATCTGATAAGGTAGGTATATTCAAAGGGGCGATAAAATCCTTGATAGTGTCCCTATCCTCAAGAGATACCTCTGAAGAGTATAAAGCTTTATAAAACGAATGAATTTCCTGAAGTACTCTTTTAGGATCAGTGATGATTTGCTCATTGTTCGCCTTCAGTTGGCGTATAGTTTTTCTTTCATAGGACCGTTTTTCTAAATTGCAGAAGTATTTAGAGCTTTTTTCTCCGTGTTCAGCCCACTTTAATCTAGACCTTACTATAGAGCCAGCAGTTTCAGTATCCAGAAGTTCATTCAACTGTGCTTCTTCAACTTCTAATTTGCTATATAATTCTTGCAGTTCTCCATTTGAACTATTATCCTTTTTCAATGAACCAATTTTTTCTTTAAGTAAGGATATACTCTTTAGTAAATTATTCTTAGTCAAATTCTTTTCTTTTTTCTTTCTACTGCAATACTCCATACAATGACCAGCCATTGTGCATTTGAATGCATCCCAAATAATATGTGGATTTAGATCACATTCAGCATGAAATTCCTTAAATTCCTTAATTTTGTCATTAATGAAATTGCAAAATTCTGAATGTTTCAAATGTGCAGTGTTCAGTTTCCAGTATCCCTTGCCCCGAGGTGAATCATTTAGTGACAGTGCTAGTGTTACCATACAATGATCAGAACAAATACCAGTCACAATTTTAGATTTCTTTACGCAATTCAACAAATCACTAGAAATAAAAATATAGTCTAACCTGGAGGAAACAAATGGAATTTTCTGATGGCGTGTAAAAATCTTATCATGAGTATGATCTCTTCTCCATACATCTACAAGACTTAGTTCTTCTACATACATATTAAAAGCAATTTTGGCACGAGCATTAGAGTGGGTTGCATTAGAACCCTCATAATCTAAAGGGCCTACCGCAATATTCAAATCTCCTGCTAAAATAACATGAGAGTTACCTATTTCATCTAACTTAGCAAAAGCATTAACAAAAAAATCTGGTGAGTCTTTGTTAGGACCATATAAGTTGACAAGAATAAAGTGTACATCATTAACATTAACATGGAGGATAATATATCTTCCCTCAGGATCCAGGTGAAAAGATAAGACTGATATTTTCAAAGAAGCTTTAAACAAAATAGCCACACCTCGGCTATTGGAACAATAGCTGCCAAAAACTGCCTCCCCTCCCCACTGAGTACGCCACAGCTTCTCATCATCTATCCTAGAGTGGGTTTCCTGAAGAAAGATTATATCATACCCACATTCTCTTAAAAAATTAAAAACTTTCTTTCTTTTAAAATTGTCATGCAGACCTCTGCAGTTAAAAGTATTAATCTGTAACAACAGTAAAAACCTAGAGTAGCAACAGTGAGTTGACAAAACAAGTAATATCCTAAAAATGTACACAATTTGATTCATGATAAAGGACCCCTGGGAAAAGGGCACACACCACACACTCAGTGAAAAAAGCATACGCACAAACACCCACCAAAAACAAAACAAACTGGAAAGGCAGCCAACGGTATGAGGCAAGAATGAGAAAACCTTAGAGCCTCATAATTAATCATAATGAACCAGTACCAACAAGGATAAGAACAATAAAAACTATTATCCCCAATGGTGAATCGTGGGTAACCAAAAACAAGGCACCTCCAGGGCACCCCGAGAATTCCTAAAAAAGTTTAAGTGAACAAAATATGTTTAAAAAGACCGACATCACTAAACTAATCTGGTGTCCAGCAAGTTAAAACGCGTTAAGTTCAAGGCATGTTATCTTGTAAAATATAAAAGTTTTCTGTGAAAGTCAGACGGTTTGTACGAGACAGCCACTATGATAATCACAGTGTTTTTATGGTGTACTACAGTTGCAATTCAAACACCTGGCTTGTGAACCTTCAGCTGGTGATCTTGGACAAACTTAATTGTCGCAGGGTATACAAAGAATGCTCGCTTTCCTTGTTGCTGCAACATCTTTAACTCAGGCAGGAGAGCTTTACGGCGAGCCTGAACGCGATGACTGAAATCCTCTGCAACAAACAACTTTGATCTCTCTTTGTACTTGAACCCCTCCTTGAACGCAGCAACACATGCCTTCCGGACCCTCACTCGATCTTGAAACGAACTGAAGCAAACATGAATTGGACGATCCTTCGGCTTGTACTGGCTGCCATTCTGGGGATGTCCACGAGATGATGGTGGACCTGGCGGCGTGCGGTGAGCCCTCTCGATCTGAACATGCTCAAGATTCTTGTCAATAGAGGCCAAAAAAGATGAAATCAACTCACTGCATCCACTGGCAGAATCAGGCTCCTCACCTTCAGGGAAGTTGAAAAAGATTAGATTGTTTCTTCGAGATCTATTCTCAAGGTCGTCAATCTTATCAAAAGCTGCAGCCAATTCCTTTTCCAGATGTTGGAACTTTTCTTCACAAGCAGCTTCATGAAAATCCAGTCTCTTATGCAGGTCATCAAACTTTGAATCCAAACGCCTTTCATATTCTATGAACCAAACAGGGGCTGCAGCGGCCGCGTCACTCACCCGGGAGCTGCCGGGGCCGGCTGGCGGAGACATGGCGTTGGATCGCTGACAATCAACGGGCAACTTTCTTTGCTTTTTCTCGATCGATCCACCGTTTTTGGACGGGGAGTTTAATCTCTTGTCCGGCATTAGGAAACACTAAATCAAAGAGCAGTAAAATCAGAGCTGAAAAGGCCTTCAAAAGTCCTGTTGGATCAAAACTTTGCTAAAGAGAGGCTCGTGTGTTATTTTCTAGAAAGGCGCCATCTTCCGTGTCATTAAACAAAAATCTTTGTTCACAACTTTCCTTCTGTCTATTTTTTCCAAACTTATTGATGTTTGCTTTTCAATTAGGATAGAATAATAGGCTTTGGAGAGAGATAAGAAGAATGGTTCTAGGACACTTACCCCGTGGACATCCTCCCTCCGGATAACCACCCCCAGTCAGCTACCCCCTAGGACAACCATCCTCTAGGACGACTACTCCCCGGGACAACTACCCCAGACAACTAACCCCTACGACAACCATCCTCTAGGATACCTACCCCCGGACAACTTTCCTAGGGGGTAGTTGTCCGGGTGGTTGTTGTCCGGGGTAGTTATCCTAGGGGGTTGTTGTCTAGGGGGTAGTTATCCGTGGGTAGTTGTCCTAGGGGTAGTTGTCCTTGGGGGCAGTTGTCCTAGGGGTGGTTGTCCTTGGGGGTAGTTGTCCTAGGGGTAGTTGTCCTTGGGGGCAGTTGTCCTAGGGGTAGTTGTCCTTGGGGGTAGTTGTCCTAGGGGTAGTTGTCCTTGGGGGCAGTTGTCCTAGGGGTAGTTGTCCGGGTACGAAGAAGAATAGTTCGAACGATATACTATATGCATGTATGTATTATTGGGATAGATTATAATTATAATAAATACGTTAGTCACCATAATGATCAGAATAATTCCAAACAAAATCCCGCCTCCGAGATAGATCGTCATGTCTCAAATACTTTATACGTAGCCATTTCTCATCTGACCATCCATTTCTGACCTTGTACTTAGCATTTCACTTTGTCCTTCTTCATATTTTATCGTCGTCATTTTTAACGATGATCGAATATAAAAGGAATAGTGCCTTGGTGATCCTTGATGTTCTTTAGCACTCTGAAAATGGAGTTTGTTCCTAGCAAATATGACTAACGATCAAAAATGGTAAACCCTTTTTTTAATCATATCTGCCATCTACTTAAATTACTCTCTTAGAGATGACATGATTGAAAGACTTTAGAAAGGTCAATACAAAGCAATTTCGATAACCTTCTGCATCTGTCACTTTTTGAAATGTCATTTCAAGGTTTTCCTTGTGAATATTTCAATGAAACGTAACCGGAACATGATCTCAATAGGCAATACTATAGGATGGGAATTTCCCTGGAGTTGCTTTTTCGAAGTTTTTGTTATTTCGTTCGATAAACGAAGGTTAATCTACGAGACCATACCAAACCAAGCAGATGTTCTCCAAAGCTGCAATCTGTACTTGTACATATTAGCTTTGACGGTCATACTCACAGACACTTCTGTTTTTGTTTTATGTTTTTAAATTTACATGTACCTGTACTTATTATTTTTTTTTTCATTAATAATTTTTGCAGAATTGGAGGACAACCATTGCCGAGTAGCGGGAAACTGGACAGCACCATGGTGTTACGTAATAAACAAGAATGGAGAAGTAACCCCTGGCTATTGCCAGATACAACCATGTGCAGGTAAGTTGTAATACTGAGGTTCGAGGTAAGTTTTAAAGATTGATTTTTAGACCAGTAACTCATGACAATCGCATTTTATTTAACATTGTGACATTGACGCTTATCACACAACATTTTTACCAGAGGAGAGAGAGAAAAAAAGAGTAAGATAGAGAGAGAGAGAGAGAGAGAGAGAGAGAGAGTAAGAAAGAAAGAGAAACATACAAATATAGAGAGAGCAAGAGAGAGAGTAAAAGAGGGAAAGAGATAGAGAATAATAAGATAGAGTGAGAAAGAAAGAGAAAGAGACAGACAGACATAGAGAGAGAGAGATATTAAGAGAAAGAGTAAGATAGATATAGAGATAGAGAGAGAGAGAGAGAAGAAGAAAAAGTTTTGTTGAAACTATACTCTTAAAACTCTTATAATCATAATGATGAGTAAACATGATACTCCACACATATTATATAGCAGGTACTTAATGACCCCTTTTAATGAGTATACCAGGTCAATGATTAATCATGACTTGGGTATCCGAACAAGATAATACCCGTATAAATATATAACGAAACTCGATACCACAAGCTAAAGCGCTGTCTATGAACAAAACCTGAACGTGCCCATGGTTGACCTACGAATAACTATTTAAACTGTATAAAAGTTGCTCTACGTTAAAAATGTGTTTTCTTTGGTTTCTAAAGTGACGCTAACTCTGTAGCATTTTACAATTTAAGTTTCAACATACAGGTAGATGAATATCGTTAGACTTGAAACACACCTTGTTGCATAATAAAAGAATATCTATCTTTACTTCTTCAATATTCATTTGAAAGTGTCATTGTGATCACTTATCGTATAGGAGAATGCACAATATTCGCGGAGGTCTTAACTCGACCATAAACATGATAAAGCCCTTCTCTCCGTTAGAGGGATAGTTGAGTTCTGTTTTCAGATCGCAAATGCCTTCAAAGTGCATGGTTATTGCTCTTATTCTTATCAATGACATTAATTATAGTGCCCTTTTAGAACCTAAAATTGCCATGAAGGTAATTTGAGACCCCAAAATGTGTGCAATTAGCCAATACGATCATACCAATTCAGCTCCACTTTCCAAAAAACATGGTGACCGTTAATTAATTATTTAATTAAAAATAACAATACATGAGCCAGCTAATTGCGGGTAATATGAGCAACACGATTATCCAATACGATCATACCAATTCAGCTCCACTTTCCAAAAAACATGGTGACCGTTAATTAATTATTTAATTAAAAATAACAATACATGAGCCAGCTAATTGCGGGTAATATGAGCAATACGAAAATGCCAACAAAAAAGCCAACATCGACATTGGCTGAAATACAAGGTAAAAGGGCGTTATTTCGAGTTTTTCAACGGTTTTTTCCACATTTTTAAAAATATCTAATATTTGTGGTGGTACACAAATATTAGAAATCGTAATATTTCAGCCGTCTCTGAACCGATTTTGATCAAACAAAGATGATTTTGTCATTTAAATATTATGTTCTTTCAAATTTGACACTCAGTTTTTCAGTATTTTTTTTTGTTTTAAATGATATTTTATTTCCTTCCTCATAATTTCACATAACAAGAAATTCACATAACAAGAAATTATCAAGATAAGCAATATAAAACAAGATCTTTGATACAAGACATTTCATAAGTTACATCAATCAATGAACATAGAGGAAAAAAAAGGGGAAAAAAAAAAAAAAGTCTTGCATGTAACAGTGTATAATCAAAATAACAGTAGAGGAAGGTTTAAGAGGAAGATATTTTTTGTTTTAAATGATATTTTATTTCCTTCCTCATAATTTCACATAACAAGAAATTCACATAACAAGAAATTATCAAGATAAGCAATATAAAACAAGATCTTTGATACAAGACACTTCATGAGTTACATCAATCAATGAACATAGAAAGAAAAAAAAATAATTCTTGCATGTAACAGTGTATAATCAAAATAACAGTAGGGGAAGGTTTAAAGTGTAGATTTTTTTGTTTTAAATGATATTTTATTTCCTTCCTCATAATTTCACATAACAAGAAATTCACATAACAAGAAATTATCAAGATAAGCAATATAAAACAAGATCTTTGATACAAGACATTTCATAAGTTACATCAATCAATGAACATAGAGAAGAAAAAAAAGGGGAAAAAAAAGTCTTGCATGTAACAGTGTATAACAAAATAACAGTAGAGGAAGGTTCAGTATCTCACACAAAAATTATTTTGTGTTGCGCCCTCTGCAACAGAACTCAACTATCCCTTTAAGCGGTTACGCGTTCGGCGATCCATCATTATTAAATCTGGTAATAACAGCTATCTATACCTGGGTTGGGAACGGTTAATGCAAAATGATAACTCTCCAAATTAATACTGGGACGAGATTTCAACTAGGGGGCGGTATTGCGAAGGAGAGGAGTAAGCGATTAGAGAAATACATGAGGGGCAGGGGAGAACTATTTACATCCTGTGGTTTTAACCTGTGCATCGAACCAACCATCCTTTTTTTCGGGGAGGGTGCTGAAAAAGAAAAACGATTGAGGCTACTTGAGCCCTTCCTATTTACCATGGTGCTAACGAGTGGAATTTGGAAGTTTCCTCTTTTTGGTTAAATACTTCTTTTACAAAGGCATCATTATTGCAAGGCCTGGATGTTATCTAGTACTAAAGCTGATGTAATACGTCTTTATAACTTATGTCTTCTTTATCTTCTCCAACTTCCAGTCCACGCTGGCTGCGTTAATGGTCCTGGTGAAGATTACCGTGGCTATGGAAAACACACCGAGTCGGGCTATCTTTGTCTGAATTGGGACAACGCGACAGATACCACCTTGTATCCTCAGTCAGGTAGAAAAGCGAATAAAATTAACAGCCTCTCAAGGATTATTAATATTATTATTATTATCCTAGATATGATTGTTTATATATCCGTTCATTTGTTTGGATGCAGTCTTCGAAGACATCTGATATTTCCTACACCACAATAGGCTCACTCTCTTTCTTTCAGGTAAGAATATCGTCATAAATATCAGAAATAAATAAATGAACTAAATAAAGTCACCTTGTTGCTAATTGGGCTTTTTTTTTTCTTGTTTTTTTTTTTTTTTTTTTACATGGAACTAGGGTTGGATAAGAATTTTTGCCGCAACCCCGACGGACGTGATAGGCCATGGTGTTATTATCAGAGTCCAGAGAGCAGCGAAATCCTGTCAGATTTCTGTCAGATAGACGAGTGTAAGTACATGTCGTTTGTTATCCGGTCAATGAGGACTTTTAGATTTACACGACGAGAACGTGGACCTCTACCCGTGACATCCTTTTAAAGCAATGTGACGTCCTAATAAGGAACTGCCGGGCACTGCCAGTACCTTAAAAGGACGTCACATTGCCTTAAAATGATGTCACACGTAGAGGTCCACGGTCTCGTCGTGCAAATCTAAAGTCCATATTGAAAGAACCTCATATGCCAGAGTTTAATATATTTATACCGGATATGTGCATTATCGATAGACGTGTGTGCGTGTTGTTGTAGTTCTTGTTATTTGGTGTTATCGGCGTTTCATTCTTTTTAAGAATATTTACGCCTTTCATTTTTTTTTTCTTTTTTCGTTTACTATTTGTAAATTTGTACTGGTTTTACTGTGTCTACTTATCCATTGTCTCTTTGATCGCTTCCTGCCATTCCATGTCTAAGTGGCATGACGGACTTTCATTAAGAAATAAGCTGCAGGATTTTGTTTCATACTGCTGCCGTCATGTAGAAGCCTATCAAAGGATATGTATATAAGCATTTTGTATGCAAGTTTAAAATGGTATTTTTTTTTGTAATGAAGGGCCTGACCTTGTTTCCATTAATGTGCGTGGTAAAGAAATAGGCCTTGCAAAGAAAGTTGAATATCATATTTCGACTATGTTAATACCACTTAATATGATCGAAATTGTGAAGCCTGTCAGTATACCGTATCCATAGTTTTCTTTGTTCCCCAGACAGTATGAATTATTTTTTAACTTGATGAAGTATATAGAAGAATTTTGTAAAACTTGAATATGTAGAGATATTTATTTCCACTGAAGTAGATCTTTGTATCTTTGTAGAATATTGTATAAGTATTGAAATGAATTATTAATGACGAAGCAGAATAATTGTATGATATTTCAGAATTTTTCTAGGCATGAGGGTATCGGAAGCGGTCTGTGAGAGCTATAGATGATGCTTTGTCTGCATCGGGTTCAAGCCTACCTTCAAAAAAGATCTTCTTAACGCAACAATATCAGTTTCTTTGCTCAACAGACGTTTAACTAACGCTCATTTCAAGGGTCCTTGCAATGTTGCAGATCTATTCTAAATTATCTCAAGTCATAAAGTTTTCGTTGATTGCAATAATTTTGCAGGTACGACTGACGCGCTCTCAAACTTTCACCAGACGATATTCACGCGTTTCATATCTTACGATGATCGCGTCATTGAAGACGCCAATATGACGTCAGAGGAGTGCGCCCTCCAGTGCCTCCAAGAGGAATCGTTCTCGTGTCTTTCTTTCAAATTTCGGGATGTGCATACTTACAACGATCGGAAATGTACCTTATCATCCCAGAGCGTATATACTCTAGACCTAGCCAGAACTTTGACCAACCCTGACCTTTATTCGCTGGATAATGACATGTTCACGCGAATAGATAAAAGTAAGTTATACCAAGGAGTCCTTGGTTAATCATGTATTCCTTTTAATTTACACTAGAGATAGAGAACTAAAATTGAGCCACAGATATGCATTTATGAAGAAATACAGAACGGGAGGGAGGGGGTGCATCCCATGTCTGCTTTATGAAAATAAGAATTTATTGAAAGGCTTTACTTATACCGATGTAGTATTGAAAAGTGTTTAAGAATAAAAGAGAACAATTTCTCTTTCGCCATGTCCAATATCTGCCTGTGTATGCGCATGGTTATCACTGTGTTTACTTGTCCCTTGTTACTTGTCACTCTATCTGCTAATCCATGTCATCTTTCAACCCCTTTTTATGCAGTTCCAAATTCGTTATGTCTCCCTTTTCTCATTAACAGTATGTGATGCTTTCATACCAGACTACGCGCAGCTTAAAGTCGGTAAGTAAACTCATTATATGTAGTTTTAATATAATATATCAAGTTCTTCTGATTTTGAATAGGCAAAATTGAATTCCCTCGATCCGGCTTACTGTTGCTTGGCGTACAAAGTGGTTTTCTCTTTCACTCGTAATGTTCACTGGACAGGTGTTTGTGAAGTAGTTTAATTATGACCTGAAGTCATTTGTGTAATCATTAATTTTGAAATTTTGAAAATGGTAAATAAAAGAATATGAATCTGAGTCTGGGGCTAAGCTGCCTAGATGTACATGTTGTATTTAAAAGGAAATCTTTGATCTGTAATGCATTTCCCATGTTTTTAGCCACGAGAGGTAGGAACATTTGCATGTCATTCAAACCTTGTTTTAGCCTTTACCAATCTTTGTTTGAGCCGTGCAAGTCAAATATCTTTATTTATTGACAGGGCATGTTCTGTTTTGTGTGTAACACGCACCCAAGAATAAGAAAGGAACTTTCCAATGCCGATGCAACTTTAATGAACGAAAATGACTGGGTAAAATCCATTTTGTTCTTGTTTAAACCAAAATACATAAATAGACAGGAAGTAATATCTAAAGAACGTGATATATCATGGATTGATTGTCCGTCGCCTCTAGATACCTTGCTGAATAATGGATGAATCGATGTAAGATAGATAGATATAGGGTAGAGAGAGAGAGAGAGAGAGAGAGAGAGAGAGGGGTGAATGGAAATCAGCACTGCTAGCTAGCTTCACCTCGTTGTAGAGAACACATCATGTTGATCGAAGAAATGCGGAGGTACTCGCAGCTCAATCAGTTACGAAGAAGAAGAAGAGTTCAGACTTCACTCCAATGACTTCATGTGAAGTTAGCCTTGTTGCTTTACATTCATCCTCTCTCTCTCTCTCTCTTTTAACCCTCTATCTATCTTTTTTTTTTAGTGCATTTCTATAGAATATGATATATCATGGATTGGTAACCCTTTAAGATTTGGATTTTCGGTACCTTCTGACGAAACTACATTGATAATTCTTTTGATAATTCTTTTTTGATAATTCTTTTGATAAACCACCATAATTTTCTTTTGTCCGGAGCAGATTGTCCGTTGCCTCTAGATACCTTGCTGCATAATGGAAGAATTAATGCAAGCTTCTCTGCATCCAGTTATATGGATGGTTACGAACCAGATCAAACCGGTCTGGAAAGCACCGAATCCTGGATTCCAATTAATAACACGAATGGAGAATGGTGGCAGGTATTGATGAAAATCAGTTGTAAAGTGTACTGTTATTACAAATCTATCATTCCAACGACGTGGCATTATGTTTGGGGGGGGGGGAGGGATGATACGCATTTAACCAATATCCAAAAGTATGGTACGATAAACCAGGCTAAAATTTAAGAAAACATATATAGAAGACGAATATTGTTGAGTTATTTGCAAATACTTGTAAATTATTACATCACTAGTATCATTATCGTTATCTATATTAGCTGTACTCGTAGTATAATCATTTTGTTGGTTTGGTTGTTCATCTTTCTTCCCAATGATTGCACATCCAAAACGATTACATAACCAAATCATGATAGCTTGATTTCCATTTTAAATCAATTCAGTTTGGATTGTTATCGATTGTATTCTAGGTGTGTTACAGCGAGCGTGTCCTAATCACTGGTCTCGTTACCCGTGGCAACAAGGAGATGATGGATGGAGAGGGATGCTGGGTTAACTCATTTAAAGTGGACTACAGCTTAGATGGGGAGTACTGGTGGAATTATTTAGATTACCAAGATGACCCACGTCAACCTATTGTGAGTCAGTCTTCGTTAATCCAGTTTCTTACAATGGGACCGGCAGAAGGATTTGAAGAGATGGACACTTTCATGCAATCAAACTATTCGTTTGAGAATTTTTTCATTATCATTTCGCTGTCATGACGTTATTGGCAAAGGAGATAAAGCAATACTTTAGGATTTGCAATAATTGTGAATTTATCAAATATGAATTACTAATAACGATAAGTTTTATAAGATATACATGCAGCACGCGACCCATGTCAACCTATATTAAGTCAGTCTTCGTTATTTCAGTTTCTTACAATGGGACTGGCATAAGGATTTGAAGAGATGGACAATATCTAGCAATCAAACTATTCGTTTGAGCATTTTTTTCATTATCAATTCGCTGTCATGACGTTGTTGGCAAAGGAGATAACGCAATAATTAAGGATTTGCAATAATTGTGAATTTATCAAATATGAATTTATCATAATGATAAGTTTTACAAAGTATACATGCAGCACGCACCTCAAACAAGAATCGTGAGCCTGTGACTATTTCCTCCATTAAATGGATCTGAACAAATAGACTCATGATCTCTAATTGTAACCCAGAAAATCATATTTTACCACATTGTCCCTTAGCTAAATACAGAGCCTTTTAGCATTATCAGTATCGAGTAAAGTCGTTTCATATTTGTAGAACTTATATATTCCTAACATGTAGTTTTTAAGCTTCTACCAACCTTATAATTATATTCCTGTTTAAACACTGTACATGAAATTAACTATAATTTGTTTTGTCACAATCAGAGATCCTGCGATGTATTCCTCATAAGGATGATGCGGTATCACAAAGTTCAATTAATTGAGAACTGATATATGGCTTTATTTGAACCCAAGAAATATAAAGTATCATTAGTTTATCAAACTATCACTCATCTCATTCCTAATTTCCCCCATTCCTCAATCATTGTCTTCATTTTTCTTTGTCATCTTCTACATTTTTCATCCTCCTTTTTCTTTCTATTTCTAATGATTTTCATTTCAGGAATTTTTCGCCAACGCGGAAGCCACCTGCAACACGACGATCTTCCTCCCTACACCTACCCGAGTGAGTTGTCTACGAATACTACCCGAGACCTGGCGAAACAAGATATGTCTCTCTGTCGGGATCATCGGCTGTCTAGACAATGGTACGGGTATCTAATGAACTAGAGAGAGAGAGAGAGAGAGAGAGAGGGGGAGAGAGAGAGTGTGTGTGTGTGTGTGAGAGAGAGAGGGAGAGAGAGAGAGATAGATAGAGGAGAAAAAGAGGAGAAAAGAGGGGGAAGGAGGGAGGGAGGGAGTAAGAGAGCGGGAGAGACAGAGGGGGAAGATTGGAGAGAGAGAGAGAGAGAGAGAGGGGGGTAGGAGGGAGTTAAGAGAGTTAGAGAGAGAGAGAGAGAGAGAGAAAGAGAGAGAGAGGGGGGGGGGTGATAAAAAGGGACCAAGAAAGTATTCAAGGGAAATGAGAATGAGAATAAAATTGGTCTAAACCAGGAATGGTGGTCATGCAGATTCATGTTCACGCCAGGAGGGGAAGGGCGTTTAATTAAATGTTTCTTATTTTTTAATTCTGATTTTGCCGTGTCTCCATACGACGTAAGTTTGTTCAATATTCAAAAGCGTGAGACTGAGAGTAATGCCTTGGTCACATTTGCTCTACGGCTAGGATACGGCGGCCGTACGCCCCCGAAATTGAAAGATACTTGCGGCGGCCGCAGATGGCCTCAGGGTCACCCTATAGGGCGTATCCCTATCTTTACATGCCGTACGGGTCGCCGTGTGATTATAACGCGGAGTTAAATTGTTTTCATTTCTAGGTTCGCCGTAGCGATAAGACACGCCCTAGCCATGCCGTAGAGCGGTTCCACGGCGACCGTACGTCGGGCGTACGGTAGCCTTGCGTTTTAAAAACTCCAGGGGTGAAGCGGTAACATCTGTCTGGTCGCACGGTTGCCGTATGGACCCTCTTCGGCGATCGTATAAATGCTATTGGCCGTAGATATTTTAGACCGCACGGCCTAAATTGATTCATAATACACTTTCGCTCATATAGTTGGAATATTTTTGTTTTTCCCCAATTTATGGAAATATTTTAAAAATAATTTAAAAATAATAGATCTAGATAATAGTATACATTCTCAGATTTTATTGAATAATAATTTGCCAATGTGTGTTTTGCGTGACTGCTAAAGCATGTGTATGCTACTATGCTTATCAACTAGGGGGCCTACGCCCTTAAGTCATAAATGACAGTAATAAGGATTAATGCCCTATAAAAGGGCACTAATATAGCACATCGACACGGTTTTGATCCCGGGGCCTCACAGTTACGAGTCCATTGCTTTATCACTAAACCATGACTGTACGCAGCGGGGGCTAGGGGAGGAGGCAGTTTCCATAAATTAAAAAAAGAACAGAAAATGCAATAAATTTTCAATAATTTATTGCATTTTACCCCGATTTCCAACATAAACAAATCCTCTGTGTGCCCATGCCGTGAGCCCTAATGCATGGCCGTCCAGAGGATTTTTTTTCCAACTGTATGAGCGACAGGGTATATATATAATATTTTTACCCATTAACATGAGAGTAATTGTAATAGTTTCATTCTTTTAACGGCCAATAGCAATTATAGGGCCGCCGCAGCATTCCCACGGTCACATAATTATATTAGGGTAGCCGCACGGCGTATTTTGAAGTTGTGGAGACAGAAAATCTGTGACTGCCGAACGGCCGTAGGTTTTGACAAATACCAAGGCACCCGAAGGGCCGCCTTATGCATAGGTCACATATAAACCGGGCCCCGTACGATTTTCCCTACCCGGCGACTTACCGTGGATTTAGAGACCTTACGGGAACCTTCCGATTTTCATTTCTACGGCATGTGTGGTCATATATTCTGCGCCGCCCGGGAGGTGCCCGGTGAAAATTGGTCGAGTGAAATGCAAGGCGCCCGTAAGGGTGCCGGCTGGTTAGCTTACGGGCTCCGTCCGATGAGCAGGTGCACCCATGGCACCCTGAAGGTGCCCTGCCAGGGCACGGCCGGGTGCCGTGCGGTGCACTGAACTATATGTCCTTTGACATTCGCACCTCCTGCATGTATTTAAAGCTGCGTTGTACATTTTGAGATGCTGCCGTGAGGGGCCCGCACGGGCAATATTCAGTTCACAAAGGGCCCCTAGACGGCAGACGCCCGGTGTTGTGCATATCACCCGGGACCCGTGAGGGAGCCGTAGGGTATACATTCTGAACCCTTGAGCACCGCAAGGCGCCCGTACAGATTTTTCATTAGAAATGACAAATAAAAATAGAGATAGGCCCGTCCGGCCACCGTTCGGAGCCCGCGCGGAACCCGTAAGGTGCCCTACGGGCCCTTTACGAGCTTGCTACGGCCTAACTGTCAGGTAAAAACGCCAGGAGAATTAGAAGCAGCCAACTCAGCACCATGGCGCCGTCGACTTAAAAGACTGTCCCGGCGCCTGTAGGAACTTTACGGCAGCCGGCCGGGCACAGGCCGAAAATTCCAATAATGTCTGTTTAACTCGCCGTACGGGCCACGGAGTGTATATGTGAAAGCCTCATAAGGGTGCTGTCGGGTAAGCTTACGGGCTCCGTCCAATGAGCAGGTGCAACCATGGCTCGCGGAAGGTGCCCTGCGGTGCACTGAACTATGTGTCCTCTGGCATCCGCACCTCCTGTATTTAAAGCTGCGTTGTACATTTTGAGATGCCGCCGTGAGGGACCCGCACGGGCAATATTCATTTCAATTGGCCCCCGGACGGCAGACGCCCGGTGTTGTAGATATCAATTAAAATCTTAAGGGGCCGTGAGGGAGCCGTAGGGTACACCTACGGGACCCTTGAACACCGCAGGGCACCCTAAAAGATTTTTCAAGAGAATAACAATTGACACCAAAAAATCGTGAGGGGCCCTACGGGCACCGTCCGGAACCCGCACGGGACCTGTAAGGTACTCTACGGGCCCTTTACGGGCTTTCTACGGCCTAACGGTCAGGTAATAACGCCAGGAGAATTGGGAGCAGCCAACTCATCAACACGGCGCCCGTACGACTTAAAAAACTGTCCCGGCGCCCGTAGGAACTTCACGGCAGCCGGCCGGACACCGGCCGAAAATTCCCAAAATGTCTGTTTTTACTCGCCGTACGGGCCTTGGAGTGTACATGTGAAAGCCCCATTAGGGCGCCCATGAATTCCTGCGGCCGCCACAATTTGTTTGGGTTATGAAAAAGTCAATTGTAATTCATAAAACCCTAGGGCAGCCGCATTGCAAACGCAAGGCCACCGTACGCCCGACGTATGGTCGCCGTGAAACCGCTCTACGGCATGGCTACGGCGTGTCTAATTGCTATGGCGAACCAAGAAATGAAAAAAGTTATAAATCCGCGTTATAATCCCACGGCGATCCGTACGGCCTGTAAAGATAGGGATACGGCCGAAGGTGACCGTGAGGCCACCGCAAGTATCTCTCTCTCGGGGGGTACGGCCGCCGTATCCTAGCCGTATAGAGCAAATGTGACCTAGGCATAAAGAAGCAAAAACCAAAGGGAAAGCTGAAAAGAGATGAATAAAAGAGGAATATAAAGTGGAGAGAGAGGGAGTGAGATAGAGAGTGCGAACATCCCATTCGGAAATATGAGATGTGTAGATAAAGGGTTTGTAGGAAATGCATCGTATGACCACAAAAAAAATAATTAAAAAAATCGTCATTCCCCGCAAAATTTGTAGGATGTATTTCCTTAGATACTGTCTTTTGTTTCTTTCTTTAGACATGTTGGATTACTTGTGTTCCCTTACTAGTATTCTTTTGATTCGGCTCGAAGAAATGCCATTCAACTCAAATTATTTATCGTCTTTCAGAAAGGAATGGACACCTTTGCTCTATCATGATCATATGCCTATGTAGATAACATGTGTTTGATATGTTACCACTGCTAATAATGAGTGTTCATGAGCGACGGTATTGTATGAGCATAATATAGCATAATATTTGATTGACAAAATCAGTTTATTAAATGCAATTATTATCGCCTGATTTTAGATTGTGATGAGGTAATGGGACTTACCCTAGATCGTATCCATGACAACCAGATCAAGGCATCATCCTGGAACGGTGATGCACTCCATCCCCCATCATCAGCCAGGGTAGGGTACATCAAACAAGTCGGATATGGGTGGATCCCAGCACAATCATCGACAGATCAATGGATACAGGTAGGTACAATCCTTCATCATTCACACTTTTCGGCTTCCTTGCGCACTGGCCATGCAATTACACTGCAATAAACTGTCTGGAAGCAATTGCAATTAGTGGATATTGTGGAGCTCTGTAAGGATAAAAATGGGAATAATTTGACCGAGTCTTGCTGAATATCACATGCACTGGACACAGACAAACTGACATACACAAATTAGAAATCTCACAAATATATCTTTTTCTTTTAACATTGGCTAACATTTGACATTCTGATCGTTTCCTCTATTTATATGCAAGCTGGTCGAGGAAATTGTAAAAACTTGATTAACTTTATAGGAAAATTTAATTGTAATCTTGTATGGAAATGTTAAATTTCAATTGCAAATTTATTTAGGTCTATGTGAAGAATATTTATAATTGTGTATAAAATGTTATAAATTATGTACAATTTTCTTTATTTTCTTCATGAGAGAAGAGAATAAAAACCATTAAAAAAAAAAACTTTTCATTTAGATCAACTTCGGCAGTGAGAAAATAGTTCAGGGCGTGGTCACTCAAGGGTGTCTAGATATCGAAGCATGGGTGGAGTCTTACACAATCTCGGACGGCCAAGATGACGCACAGTATCGCAACAACATCAGATCAGAGGTGAAATAGATATTTTGTTAATAAATAGGAAAAGTTTATTATTATTATTATTATTATTTATTCGGCAAAACAAAGTGTATACAGTGTTTGAAGAGGATTACATCATCTGACTAAATTAGTAACTTAGTCTTTTTATATGATCGTTTAGGTAATAGTCAATTATTTCCTTATAGGAATCGGCTTTTCTTTCAGCTGAAAAAATTACCTAACTGTCAATTATTAAACAGATCGCAAAGCTTTAAATGCACATGAATTATGAAACACTTAATTTCATGTTCGTTCTCTATTCTTTTCATTTTAGGTGAGGTAAATGGGTACCTGGCAGGAATTAATTCCTTGAAATGCTAAAGCGCTTTAATGGCGGCTATAAAGCTGGGGTAATAATTCGTCCTTGTTTTCACGAAGTGACGGTAGTGAGGAAAATCGTCACGCAAAGTGAATGCAATTTTTTTTCACTACCGTCACTTCGTGAAAACAGCGACGAATTAATGCGCCTCGGAATAGAATTTCTAGATATACGGCGCTAAATAGCTATTATTATTAATGCGTATACACATTTGGATTTTCCTCACGATTATTTTATATTCTTTGTTTCCAGAACTTCGCAGAAACGAAAACATACAAATCAAATTCATTGCACCATGTTATTGAATGATCTCTTTCTTTTCACAAGGTTTTTCAAGGTAACAGGGACATGACAACTCTTGTACGCAATGACCTGAATCAACCTTTTGCGACCCTTAGTGTAAGAGTTCATCCGGTCACGTGGTATCGTGATATCTGCCTCCGTCTTGAGTTTATCGGATGTCAGAACAGGGGTAGGAGATTAATTTGGATTTGAAACCCTAATATAAACAAAAACATTCCCTTACACAATCTTAAGGACTTAGTATAGAACTCAACTAGATACATTTCATTACCGTATTGAATTGCCTTAGTTTGATATTTGGTTTATGTACCATGTTATTGTACTGCCCACGAATTTCGAAACGTGGCGCCCAAGGCAACTAAACTTACCTTACTTTGCAATCGTGCTTCCTTTAGAATTCAAAGAAATGTGGACTCATTGTTATTAGCTCATGTCCCGAACAATAGTGTTAAGTTGATGATTCTTCCCTGAGTAAACAAAATTACGCTGACATTAAATAGCGGCAGGCGTTTCAAACAAAGAGATGTCCAACCTTTCGCTTTTTAGAATAAGCATTCGCAGAGAGGTGGGGGTTCTCCATAAAGAGTTTTTGTTCCAAAAAAAAACAAACTTAAGCCTTTGTATCATAATCATAGAATACGTCGTTGGTGCAAAAAATAGATACGATTTAATAACTTTGATGACCAATCATCTACTATTTGTCTGATAAGTAATTTTTGTACATTTCGATCCAGGACGAAATGAGGTTACACTTATACCCCATTCACAGTGGTTTTGAAATTTGTAGCGGCGTTGTAGCGGAGCGGCGACACCGCCATAACACCGCTACAAATGCATTCACAGTAGAAAAGTTATCCCGCTGCAGCAGCGGGGTAAATATCATGTACCCATTCACGCTGCAGCGGGTGATTTTTATTACCTCCGTAACAAACACGTGTATGCATGGCTCATGACCCGCGAGTGACCCCGATATGACCGGAAATACTTGCTTGAAATTGCGCGGTAAACATGTCAAGTTGCTTTTTGTATCCTCGATCATATTACTTTTTAAAAAACTAGCATTTTTATTGCTTCCAGTCAGAATATTTTAATTTTTTAAAGTGTGAAATATTTTTATTTGGATAATTATAATACCTACATAATAACAAAATCAATTTGAATCCACTGGTTACTTTATTTCTATTTCACTTTATGTTCCCCATTGCTGTAGAAAAGAGGTCAGTGATAGGTAAGTAAACAAATCACACGTGTTTTTCGCGGTGTTATAGCGGAGAGCCTTCACACTGAGTAAACACCGCGACAGCAGCGGGACTGTCCCGCTGCTGTAGCTAGGCGTCCCTAGCGATAGTTTGTGTCGGCGTTATCGCTAGGCGGTGTTATCCCGCGATAGTTTATAACGGGTCCGAGCCTTCACACTGAAGACAACACCGCGACAGCAGCGGGACAGTCCCGCTGCTGTCGCGGTGTTTGAGGCCACTGTGAATGGGGTATAAGTAGCTTAATAATATCCCATACAGGATCACACACAAATGTTTACAAGTTTTTCTGATCCCCACTTTTTGGTTAGCTTGTAATAACAGACTTGGAATGGAGTCTGGTCGCATCCCTGATGAAGCCATAGCAGCTAGCACCTTCTACTACGCTTCACCTGGGCACAATGGCCGCCTGCACATTGAAGAGAGCGATTTATCAGCGGAACCCCGGCCGTTTTGGGGTGCAAGGGGCTCTCTTGCAAGGAATGAGTGGCTACAGGTAACGAGAATAGTATTGTTACGGTTTTTCAGATACTCCAGATGAGATAGAATAAAACGTAAATCTTATGCAGCAGGCACCTTGCTACCTTTGAAAATTGGTGAAAGTTTCTTGGACGTTGACATTCAACATTGATAAAAGTCTATTGTCATTTTGAGAACCTCGTAACGCCCATTTTCCCGCCAGAAATAGAGTCTGTGGAATTTAAAAGTTACAGACATGTTAAACGCCGTGAAAATTACAAAAATCATGAAAATAGTAAGATTAAACGAGAACTTACCGTTTGAAGTTTGATCTTTATTTTATGAATATTTAGGAGGAAGTTATTACATGATTCAAATCATTTCTTCTAACATCTAAAGGTTGATTTATCGGAGCTCCATACCGTGACGGCTATCATCACCCAAGGTGCAGGCGTGAAGACTCTTCTGAGTTGGGTCACCTCCTACCGACTGGCTTACTGGAGCATGCGTAGTACTAATGAATCAGAGACATGGAGTTTCTACAAAGATATCGAGGGGAATGAAATGGTAAGTAGGAAATTACTTTAAAAGCTTCGTCTGGGAGACTCTTTATCGTTTGATATTTTAAAACATAGTATAATGTGATATTACATAAAGAAGATAGAAGAATGTCATATTAATGATGTAATTGGAAATGACCGGCTGGTTCCATCTGGTTAATCCTCTTCATCTTCATAATCTACCGTCTAGTTCGACTATACTTTCACAAAATAGGACTTCTAATATCCAGATTGCATCATATTAATGCCAATTATGTTTTCCATATTTTTTTGTCATGGAAGAATAAAATATTTCAGTTCAACAAATGCAACTCAATGTAGTTCGTTTATACAGGCTGAACTAGTAATTAGTACGGTGTTTAACTAAGGCTGACAGATATGAGAGCTGTACAAGAGCCCACTATCAGAGGCGGTTCTCCCGGGGGGGCAGGGGGGGCACAGTGCCCCCCCACTTTTTCAGATACCCCAAAAGTGCCCCTTTTTACATAGGAAAAGTGCCCCTTTTACTTTGACAAGTGCCCCTATTACTAAATAAAAGTGCCCCTTCCCCCCTTTTCACCTCTGACGAGTGCCCTTTTATTTTTGACACGTGCCCCTTTTCCTTCGACACGTTCCCATTTTCCTTTGCAATAAGTGTCCATTTTCCATTCTCATAAATCTTGAAATTATCTTTAATAAGTGCCCTTTTTAATCTCTAGTAAGTGCCTCTTTTCAGGTACGAGAAGTGCCCCTTTTCACTTTTGATAAGTGCCCCCTTCACCTCTGATAATTGCCCTATTCAAAACTGAGAGGTGCTCCTTTACTTTGACAACTGCCCCTTTTTTCCTTTGTAAGAAGTGCCCCTTCTCCTTTTAATAACTACCCCTTTTTTAAACTCGGATGAGCACACCTTTAATTTTAACATGTGCCCCTTTTATTTTCTAATAAGTGCCCCTTTTCCTTATGATAAGTGCCACCATTAAAAAGAGAGAGCTCCTTCCCCTTCTCATAACTACCGCTTTCCCTTTCTAATAAGTGCCCCTTTTCCTTATGATAAGTGCCCCCATTAAAAAGAGAGAGCTCCTTCCCCTTCTCATAACAACCGCTTTCCCTTTCTAATAAGTGCCCCTTTTCCTTATGATAAGTGCACCCATTAAAAAGAAAAAGCTCCCTCCCCTTCTCATAACGGCCCTTTTTTAAAATTTGAACGGTGCCCCCTTTTCATTCAACAAATGCACATTTTCCTTTATTATAAGTGCCCCTTTTACATTTTCATAAGTGCCCCTTTTCATATCTGGTCAGTGCCTCTTTTCACCTCTTATAAGTGCCCCTATCAAAATCTGATGGGTGCCCTTTTTCCGTCAACAAATGCCTATTTCCCATTTTCGTAAACGCCTCTTTTTCATCAGGTGAGTGCCTCTTTTCAGGTGAAAAAAATGCCTCATGTTCACCTCTTATAATTATCCTTTGTACTTTGACACGTGCTCCTTTTCTGTTCTAATGAGTGTCTTATCCCTTTCGATAATTGTCCCCTTTTCATGAAATCATTAAACATGCCCCTTATTTAAAGCGACTAAGAGCAATTTCCCCCAAAGTTCGCTCGCTGCGCTGGCTCACATTTAAAGATGATATAATTATGTAAGTTATCAAAGGTCTTTTCAGTCTTCCGTTATGAGAATGTGCTTATAACCCCATCACGATTGGTTTTTTTTCCTCTTTATAAGATGTAATTTTTCGCACTGCGACCTCGCAGATCTTTAAAAATTTTCTCGCTCGCTTCGCTAGCTCGTAAATGCATATTCAGACATCCCACCCAACTGTAAAGTATGATGCTTAAGCGATATCTTGTATGATGTATGAAGAGAAACAAATATTGAAATCATCCCTGATAATGTAATCACAATGCAGGGGTATGTACCAATGTCAAAAAAATTGTATATTTTCGCTTTGAGATTTCCCACTGTAGGTGCCCTTTTTTCTTCAGAAAGTGCCCTTTTTTGTTGGTGCCCCCCCACTTTGGAAGTCGCTCGACCGCCCCTGCCCACTATCATCATTTTATTGTTATTGTTATTATTATTATTATTATTATTATCTTTATTTTTACTATCATTATTATTACCATTATTATTATTATCATTATCATTATAATTATTATGATTATGTTTATAATTATTGTTATTATTATTATTATCATTATCATTATTTCAACAAATTAATGTGTGATATTGTAAATTGCCTTAAAGCAAGTTGTCTTTGTCCGTACCTTTGACACTAAAATTATTACAATTCTGATCCATTTCAGATTTTACCCGGGAACAGCGATCAGAATACTGAAGCGAAGAACACTCTTGATCGACCAATCATCACACGCCGTGTTCGTATCATGCCCTTTACATGGTATAGTGCTAAAATAAGGATGCGAGCTGAGATCATCGGTTGCCCGTTGATAGGTAGGCCTAGACAGTCTATCTCTAATTGTTTGATGCAAAATGTAAACTTTCGACGCCCATGGGTTACATGAGGCCCATCTTTCGTGAAATTGATTATATGGCCTTGATGTATTCCGTATTTAGAGATGAAAAGTGGTACATAGCAAAGCCTCAATATCGTTATAATGAAACGTTCTTATTCTTGTATAAGCTTATGGTGACGCTCACGATGACCTTGTATTGAAAGGCTATTATACCCTAAAATGCAAATATTTCATCTTCTTTCGATTGTGCGATGAGTATTTTCACTTTATATATTTTCAGTTCTATTTAAACTGCGTTACCTCTTCAGTTAAAAATTACCGTCATTGAGAGCCCATTATGGAATATGTGAAGCATTCAAATATAAATCTGATCTTGTTACGCAGCGTTTACAATGAAGATACCTTTTTTTAATAAATCTACTCCAATTCTAGGTACTGGGAGGGTATGTAGATCCGAGAAAGGATTGATCTTTAGTGGAAAATGCTACGGGTCTATAAGCAACAACGCAGAAGGAGCATGTAGCGACATCTTTGCCGAGGACAGCAAGCGAGCTACAGTCAAGTCATCAAACATCCAGAACGAGCTTTCAGATCATCTTTCTGAGCTCGTATTCCAGAGCAAAACACAGTTGACAATGGGAGCTATGAAAGAAGGCGAGGAAGTTTGGATGTGGGATGACGGTACTCCTGTCATATATGAGCAATTCCTCTATGATCTGCCTGTCAGTACTAACCCATATTGTACGGCACTCGACGGACTTGCTGGGTTTAAGTGGACACAGTATGAATGTAAAAGTGTTATACTGCGTGGATCCCTCTGTGAAATAGGTAAGAAACCGATGGCAACTCCTCCCCCCCCCCTTCTTCCCCCTCCAACTACTACTCTAACTACTCCTACTACCGATACTACTATACTTCTACTACTACTACTACTACTACTACTACTACTACTACTACTACTACTACTATTACTACTACTTATTATTATTATTATACTACCACAACTTCAACTACTACTGTTACTACTTCTACCACTCCTACCACTTCTACTGTTTACTACTGCCTGACAATCCCCCCCCCCCCTTTTTTTTTACTATTGTGGGTGGGGGACTGAATCCTGGACCTCTTCCACTCAAAGCTAGATTTTGTTAGGGCAATTTTTCCTATAATTATCTCAATTTTGAAGATTCCAAACTTATTCAATTTAATAGTGATATTATAATACTAATATTAACAGCAATACTTTCTGCCATTATTGGCGCAGTGTCAAGTTCAAGGAATAGTTCCCACCAGTAACATCATCTGGGTCGAGAGTGACGAATAAATATAAGTCAATGTCTTTGCAAAGGTACACATCGGAACTCGAATTTCAGATCAAGTTTATACAAAATACGACTACGACATTTTTGAAAATGTTCAATTCATGTATTACAAATAATGTCATATGCCTTTGTATATCGTTTAGCTTCCCATCTCTGTCTTACTTTCACATTATTATTCAGATATCGATGAGTGTCTTAGCAGTGAAAATGGGTGCTCACATGAATGCGTAAACTATGATGGGGGCTACCACTGCGCATGCCCAGATGGTTACCGATTAGACTCCTCTGGTAGAGAGTGTGTGGGTAAGTACAGGGGGGGGGGGGTGTTTCATAAAGTTGTGCGTAAAGTTACGAATTACTTTACACATGATTTGAATATGAAGGGCCAAATGGGATGCCCAAAGTTTTTCCTGACAGTGTAACAAAATGTGACTGTATTTTCCATAGTCTCAATTAAATTGTAGCCAAAAATACACTTTACATTAAAATGTTTTGTGAATAATGATAATGATAATCTACATCTGCATATTTCAGCTTTAGCTTATGCAATTCGTAGAGTCATGCGTAATTTTACGCACAGCTTTATGAAACACCCCCAGGTTAGCTGAAGGTTAGCAGGTGCTTCCGTTTTATCAACATTCTTTTATTTGTATGTCAATCCGATGAAGTAATATATAATTTTATGAAGTTCCTTGAAGAATAGGCGCCAAGTCAATTTCCATTTTTGCGCATGCATTGTCATTTTACAAGATTGATGCTAATCTCATTTTATTTGTGTGGAATACAACTTTTTCAGTTTCGGGCAAACAGAGAGAGAGAGAGAGAGAGAAAGGCCTCCTTAACTTAGTTTCCTTACGTGTTCTGTGCATAGCTCCCAGCAAAAACAGACAAGACCGGTCAGAGTCTAGGCACAGTACGTAAAGGAAAGTTGTCTAGAAATAATTAGGATGATTATTATTCAAATAATTTCTTGTAATAATTCCCTCAGACTTATGTGCATATGATGTCATGAATCCTACGAGCAGCACTATCTTAAATGAAGGACAATCTTGCTTTTACGTCATGGATTCCGAAGCGGTCACGTGGACAGAAGCTACCAATCAATGCAGGGGAATTCAAAGTCGTCTAGCCAATGTCAGCGATGAGAGCTTTATACAGGTACCCCATCATCATTTATCCTATAACTTGAATTGTAAGTGATACGAGAAACTGAATTTTGTTTTTACACAAAATTGTCACATAAACCATTGACTAAACAATAATTGTTGGATTTATTTTGGAGGAACGAATCTATAGAAAAGTAAATTAATGAAATCAGAACAATCAGAGTTATGGTATTATAACTTCTCAAAGTCAATGTTATATCAGAGCCTCTCGATTTAAAAACATCTTCTTCCTCTGTGGATTTTGTAGATTGGGGTTGGACTAGTCTTTGGCATTCTGGTAAACCTCTCTTCAATGTTCTAGGTTCGAATCTGATAGGAGTCTTTTGTAGGATGACTAAATCGTTCCCAAACGTTCAAAATCTAATCAATACATGCGAGATACACAGCTCAGGAAGGATTAAACCCGTCAATTATTCCGTTTCTAATAACTTTACAGGCTTTGAATGAGGCAAATGTAAGTGATATTTGGGTAGAAGACGATCTTTCTGCCGTAGATGAGCTCTGCCCTTCAATCATATGGAACGCGACTGAGATTATAGTCGAGCCGTCTGACTGTCATGATCAGAAAACATTCGTCTGTGAGCAAGGTAGGCAATTTGCACTTGAAATAGTATCATTAGCATGTTTCATCACTCACTAACCTGATCGCAAAGACTTTCGAAAAATCAACGGAAGGCAAATTCAGTAGCGCTTCCGTCACCTATTGAAACGTGCGAAAATTACAAGAACTTCTTACGTAGCCCGACCATGATTTATATGGGGGTAGAAAGTCTTTGAGATCATGTTCACGAAGTACTTGTCACCTCTAATCATTTACTTCACAGCAAATATAAACAACGAGATAAACACCAAGTTGATTAAATGTAAAAGGGATTTAATTTTGTGTTTTCTGAAGACTGTATATGTATTGTTATCATAAACAATTTTTTCAAGATTAACACATTTTCTTTGCATTGTAGAATATGCTGATCTTCATTGCCATGATATTTGGTCTAATGACGTCACATCACACGTGACATCAGCTTCAGTAGGTCACATACAAGCGTTCAGTTACCCTCCACTCTACAACCAGCAATCAACATGTAACTTTCTGATTAAGGGACCTGGGAATATGAAAGTCAGGTAAGGTTTTTATCCGTATTGTAATTCAAATGAACCATTCTCGCACACGTTTTTGACAAAAATCATTTCATATGAATATTCTATTAGAACACTTGTGCTGGTTAAATTTGTATTTAATGGGTCACAAAAGTTATTTGAAGTTAAGTGTTTCTAAAATCTGTTGCAAGAAAGCGAAAAAAAAGAGGAGGAGTACAAGGAGAGAAAGAAGAAGGGGGTGAAGAACGAAGAGAAAAAGAAGGAGATAAACAAGACAAGAAAGATGATAAAGAATTTTTTTTTAATATAGATCTAATACAACACAAATAGCAGTAGAAGTATCATTTTGATTATCACAATTACTCTTACTGCAATGATGGTTTTTGCCATTACTACCAACATCGATATTCTGAATTCAATATTTTTTTCTTTCTAATGTTTTATCTAGGCTGACCATCACAAGAATGATGTTGCGTCAAGATCTTCGCAATTCAAAATGCCACGACACCCTTGGTGTTTATGACGTCATCGGTAAGACCAATCAAACACGTGGTCAGTACTGCGGTGAACTTTATGACGTCGAGGTCATTAGCCAGTCCAATGTCGTATTCGTTGAACTCGCCATGTGGTCGTTGACCGCCAATATGCCAAATGAACTTGGCTTTGAAGCCAGTTATGACATGGTCGGTAAGTCAAGCTTCGAATCTTGTTTAAAACTGTAGAACTGTCAGCACTAGGAGTTTCATACAATATGTCTGCAAGTTGACATTCATTATTTTGACACTTAAATATTGGATAAAATGCAGAGGCATATCCAGTATATGGATGACCCGACGTAGGCCCTACCCATAAATTTGCTTGTATATAAATATTTATAATACCTATGGATTAAGAATGACTAATAATATAAGAAAATGCCTAGCGTCATCCATTTTTGTGTGGGTGAGCATGTCACTAGACATCTCTAGCTCTGATGGGCTAGTATAGTCCAGAATCTTCCCGGTCCTTTATAAATCCCTACACAGAAGATGGCGTTATCAACAAACTCATAATTATGCTCACAATTTCGCCGGACGTCCTAATTTAATGATCACGCCATCATCGGCTGGTAGCAAGTAAGTACGAGGAGGAAGCTTTGGTGTGGTGAAGATCAAAATTAAATAGGCCAGATTCTGGACTAAGGCTAGTAACGCATGCGGGATACCTTTGAAAACCCAATACTTCGCTCCTATGTTTCCAAAGTCAAGCCTCTCAACCATTTCCAAGTTGTGGTATATCTTTTTCAATAGCCTTCCTCAATGATGCCCAACGTCAGTCATGACTTCCAGTTGTTCAATATTTGGTATATCCTAAAATATATATTTGTGAAAACAATTGATTTAGGACTCTGTAAATCATTTTCTAATCCCACTGCAGACTGCACAGTTACAGATTGCAATGCTGTATGCGGTAAGACAGTCAGCTTTCATGGACCATCAGGCTCAATCCAGACCAATGATTTCCCATCTATTATTCCACCATTCACCAGCTGTGAGTATAACATTACTGTTCAATCTGATCGCTACATCTCTCTTCATTTCGACGACTTCGACATCGAGAGTGACTCTGCGAACTGTATTGATCGTGTGTCAGTACGTACACCTACCGGTATCCTGAAACGCGCACTGTGTGGGAATAAGACCCAGCCTCTCATCATATCCAGCTCATCTACGGTCATTGTCGCCTTGGACACAGGGTTAGCGGGCAAATCAACTGGGTTCAATCTTGTCTACAACACAACAGGTACGTGATTCACCGCTACGCCACAGCCATGGATTAAAAAAAAAAAGGGGGGGGGGGAAGGGGTGCTATCTATCTGTCAGGGTAGATGGAATTCAAGGCCATGGGTTAATGGGTGTGCATGGGATAGAGTCCCCTCAACTTTTGTTCATGTTTCTTTACCTCCGTTCTTTTCTCATTCTCTCATTCCGCTTGACGAGTTCAACCATATTTTAGGATGAACACGATTCTTTGTTTAACAAGTCATTGTATTAAAACAAAAAATGTAAATCTTTAAAGGAATTTGTTGAAACTATATACAATTAGTCATCATTGTCAATTATGTAGTCACAAACCCCTTCTTTCAGGATTATTACTGTTATTAGTGTACATTACTATCGGAAGGTTAAAATAGAAAAAAAAATGTATTTAGTAGTAATTCGGTACAGGCTCATCCACATCTTTCACAATTAGTACAATGTTTATAGTGGAGTAAGATTTGTCCATTTCCGTTTCTTTCAGAATTAGGAGGCTGCGGATTTGGTCGCGATACTTGTTCAGGTGTGGAGTACTGCACCCTTTCTGCTGCTGTGTTTGTCTCCGTCAACTACCCCTTTCCTTACGCGCCCCATTCACAATGCCGATGGAATATCGTCGCGCCTGAAGGTTCTTTCGTGACCGTAACGTTTACACATTTCGATGTCGTCTCCGAAATCAATGACCACGAGTGTACTCAAACAGACTACTTGGTTGTCTATGACGGGGTGAATGATAAAGATACACAGTCGCCGATCCTGGGACGTTTCTGCAATTCAAACCCGCCATTAAATGACGTCCGAAGCAGCCTAAATGTCGTAGTCATTGAGTTTGTTTCAGATGATGATCTCGAAGGAAATGGTTTTTATGCCGAGTACCATGCCACCTACACTGAGCTAGATGTAGACTCAACAACAAATGTTTCTGGTAAACTAACTTATAAACGAAATATGGTACTTCGTGACAATTTAGTTTGGGATTAGGAACTTTATTACGCTACACACAAAACAACAGAATGCATGCCAAATACATGTAAATGTTTAAAGCGGCTGAATGAAGATGTCTTATAATTGCGAGAAAAGGGAAATTTCGAATTCAAAGCATTACCAAAATTGCCATTTGCGACGTTTTAAGGATTGGTTCTTTTTAATATCCATGAAGTTTTTATTGTCTGTGCAGTCAAGTATAGAAATATTAGTATCTTACATCAATATAGCCCTTTATATTATCAGTTTAAATATCAGGAAGTATTTTTTTTTTCTTTCATTCAATTTACACAAAAAGATTACACATGTCCGGAGGGATGGGAACTGCTTGGAAATAATTGCTACCAGTTTACCTCACTCAATCAGACGATCAGATGGAACGATGCCTCTAAGATGTGCCGAAATATTGGCGCATTTCTCGTCAGCATAGAAACCGCCAAAGAGATGAATTTCATCCATTACATGCTGTCGTCATCATGGTTTACTGGCAACAACATGAAAACCTACATTGGTATTACTCGATTTTTGAAATTCTGGACTACTGCATTTACCTGCTAATCTCATTACACAATTGCGAAAGAAAACTATTTGACATTTGATTTTGTCCTTTGGACTTACTCCCGGACCCCTGAATCTGTAAGACTCGACCCAGCCACCTAAACACGCAGGAATCACACTGGACACATACATGTAAATCTCTACAACTCCTAGGAATTACAATGGACACTTAAATCGCTAGGACTCACTCCAGCCACCTAAACCCTTAGGAATAACACTGGACATCTTAACATCTTGGTCTCAACCCAGACAACTGCAACCCCTAGGACTGACCCAAGACACTTGAATCCCGAAGACACCTAAACATATGGGACTCAACCCAGACACCTGAAATCCAAGGAATTACACTGGACACTTATGACTCTCGGAGTTATCCAGGGCACCATCTTAAACCCCTATGAATCACACCTCGACACGTAAACATATAGGGCTCAACCGGAAACCTAATTCCTTGGGAGTTATTCCGGTTGTTTTGGTCCCCTACGACTCACCCCGGACACCTAAACCCAGAAATGTTGTACAAGGCTGAAAAAGAGGGCCCACATACCCTAAAGACTAGCTTTTTATTTCTAGAGACGAACTGGGCTCCAAACACTGATTACTTTTGATGCGGTGCTAGATACCAAACTTTACACATGTCCTGAAATATTTCGAATGAAGTAATAATAAAAGGGAATTTTAGTTCACACGAATAAAAAAAATAAAAAAAATATTTTTGTTTCAGGTTTGACAGATAGCGCTGAGGAAGGTCGCTTCAGATGGGAAGATGGCGGTCCTCTGAGCTATGCAGATTGGTACATAGCAGATAGGTAAACATTCTGGTTTAGGGATTTATATAAATAAAAATAGGGAAGATGAAGATGAAGATAATCATACAAGAATCAAAGAAATTGAGGAATGAAACGAAGTTCAAGAAGATTTACAAGTGATTCGATATACGTTGTGTTGTATTCACATTACATTTCATATTTTTGTCTCAAACTCAACAGCTCTGATGAAGACTCTCAACCAAATGGCCATGAGGAAGAAGATTGTACGATGATCAAATTGGACAACCTACAATCCTCAGCGAATTGGCATGACATATCATGTGCATCACGTGAAGCAAGTCAATTCATTTGCCATCAACCCGCTCTGGGTAGGTTGAAAATACGACACAGTCTTGGCACGTTCTTAGCAAATACGCGAGAGTGAGAACGAGTTTATGATTGCAATAATGACATTAAATAAATAGGTAACATATATGGGAGACATTGTTGATGGGTTGGTGTTTCAGACTAATTGACGGGTATGTTCTTGACGTTGACGCTTTGTATGTAATTACCTTTTGCAGCTGATGAACTTGTCGCTCCAAGAATTGGAGATCTATCAACGAAAGGTAATATTTTTATATCATTCTTCAATGTCGCTACTTCATGAGTTATCTTTGTCTATCAATTATACTCGATGGCCATGGTGATATTACCTTATCTCTCACTTTCACAATTCTCTTCCGCTCCATGCCTCTTCACCCCTTCCTTGATGTTATCTTGGCACTTATTCGAAATTTACGTTGAATAAAAATATGATTCTCTTTACAAGATAAACCAGTTTAAGAATGTTAGTAGAGCACTTTCCATTGGCATTGTGTTTTAACAATCAACGGTTATTTTATAGCAAGTGTTTCCTTTATATTCACACTGTATGAATGAAAATATTTTTTTTTACAGGGAATTGCCCCAAGGGCTTACATACATATTGTAGTGAGACATGGACAAAAATCAAAGCAATAGCCTCTCAAAACGAATAATAAGGTTCATAAGGTTAAGGTTCATATTTATTGTCCATTTAATAATGGAAATTCTTCGCGTTACATGGTATTGCGATACACATAATATATATAACATATACACTCATACAAAAATCAATAAAATAATTGTTGTGTTGACAAAAAACAAAAACAAACAATTAACAATAAAAACAAAGATACAGTAAAAAAAAAAAATGTTTTTGTTGGAATGTCTTTATATTTTTGTCTCTGACAGGTTGCCCACCTGGAAGCCAACGAATTGTTGACACATGCTTGTCTCTTACCCTCTTTGATCAACCCGCTCCGTTGCCATGCCAGGCCATCCAGTCCTCCGTCCTCTTACCTCTACCACGTCTAATCTATGTTCTTGGTCTGTTATGGCCGTTCTCACTTGTACCAGTAGGCATGGTCATCGACATACAAGGTGTGCGCTACATACTATTAAACGATTAACGAATCACCCGTTGTACCGATGATTCTGTATTTTTCCCCCACATGGCAAATACAAACTCCATTTTAGAGTGAAAAATACTATTCTTGGTAATTAAGAAGAGGAAGAAGAAGAAGAGTATACAGCTTTATCATAAATAATGAAACGCATTTTTAAAGAATTTTAAGAATAGCGACCGTCTGGCCACAGCAGTTTTTTCTCTCTAAAACTATAAAAGTGCCTTAAAGTATTTCCTTATATATGACATATGACAATCACTCTACATGCATTTAGATTGTTCAGAAACACTAACAATCAAGCGATTACAGTAAGTCTTGAATCTTTTGCTGATGGCAGTCTTACAACCACTACGCGTACACTTTTTATCTGACAATCTTGTTACCCAGGTGTATACAACATTGACATCCAAACCCTGAGTCCACTGCGCCATGACGTCACGACTGAACCGTGTCACGTGATGGAATACAATGGTGATGATTGGCAGCTAGTTTACAGAGACTGCGCACTGGATCATGATGGCAGCATGTGTTACTTTGTTGTGTCTGGTAGGCGATTGCATATCGTTCCATTATCAGTGTTGTCAGCTTTATGACATTATTTTATTACCTTGATATACTGCATACAAGGATAAGATTATCAGTTTCATAATGTAAAAGATAAAGAAATCGGCCTCTGCATTGTCATTTCAGAAAGATAGTAAAAACTGATCTTACATTTTTAGGAAGTTGAGGAATATCTGTTGGCATGTTTACGATAATGTTGACAGCAGGCCTGTAATGAGGTGAATGGTGCAAAGAGCACATTAATGTACCAATACGGAATTTAAAAAGAAAGAAAGATCAATATAAGCTTGATATTAAGCAAAGTGAAAAAGTCATTGTATTTCTTATTTTTTCATCAACAGATCTTGTAAACATCTGTGGCGATGACATGTTTGAGTGTCTGAATGGAGAGTGTATTAGATCAGTTCATGTTTGTGATGGACGAGAACAATGCACTGGAGGAGAAGACGAAAAGAACTGTGGAGGTTAGTAATGATAATACTTGTAAAAACTCTTCAGCCTTTTTCATGCTTATTTCACTTCAAATCTTCGTCTTTCACTTCGACATCTTCTTTCTTTGATTGGGCTGCTTTGGCAACATAAAACCTATAAAATATGTGATATATAATGATAGTTTTTAATTGTGATACAATTAACATCACATAAATTTCCAATAGCCTATCCGCTAAACCAACTCCTTAAATATGAAGAGTTACTACATTGTCAAATTGCGAACCCGAAATTCATGAAAGCATGCTGCTACGGAGATAGAAGAAAGCGTTAAAGAAGGTAAGGGAAGGATGTTTGTAAAGGGAAAGAAGAAAATAAATCAAAAAAATATAAATAAATATCTAAAGGGATTAAAGAGCACTATGGTAATTACTGATTTCAAGCTATCAGCAGCTTAATTTGTAATATATTTTCTTAATTTGTTTGAAAATAACAGGTTCAGATTTATTAGGAAACATGGATCCTGGTACTTTTCCACCTTGTCCTGAATCAAGTTTCCAATGTGATATGGGTCGATGTATCTCAGCTTCATTCTACTGTGACTATGTACCTCACTGCCAAGACAAGTCGGACGAGGAACATTGTAGTGAGTATTAATTAGGATTCTCCACTTAGCTTCCCAAATAAATGAAGGAAGAAAGAAAAAATCAAGCAAACGATACAACCAACGAACCAAACAACAAACAAACGTCAAGGAAATGACTTCAGTTTTCTGATTATATTATGATGAATAAAACACCGAACTAGCATGACACTTTGTGACGAGACATATTTACATATAACTTTTACTCTATATCATAAAGTAATCCAAATTATAGCTCGGACATTAGGTTCAGTAATCATTAAACAAATGCTATAACTAAATTGTTTCTTATTTCTTAAACATGAAGTAACATTTAAAAAGATTCCGAAAGAAGGACTATGTCCTTAAAGTTAACCGTGAGAAGCAGCCGACATAATGATTTTAAAAAATGGGGATAAAGGATTTTAATGCAGCATTACATTATTCAAAATACGTGTTATTCGTCATACTAGCAACATCTGTACTTTTAAAAGTAATGAAAGATTATAGTTGATGTATAATTCTTTGGGTAGACTTCATCAGGACATATTTAAAGCGTACCTTCTTACACTGAATGTTAGAATCTAAATTCAAATATCTGTATCATGGCCCGATCTTTCCGATCTCTTCCTTTATATTCTTTTAATAGCTTTTCCACAATGTAAGGAGGATGAATTTCAGTGTAGCAATGGACAATGTATCGAGGCATCTCAGCAGTGTAATATTACTCCAGATTGTGTGGATGGTAGTGATGAAGAACTGTGCAGTAAGTATGATTCTTTTGTTCTTTCGTCTACCTCCTCATTTTCTGTCCCTCCTTATTCATCTTCTTTTTCCTCTTCTTCATTTTCTTCTTCCTTGCATCCCCTTTTTTCTTTCATTGTCTCTCTCCTCCTACGCTCCTCCTTCTTCTGCAACCTCTTCTGCTTCTTATACTCCTTTTCCTCCTCCTCCTTCTATTCCTCTTATTCTCCTTTTTCTTTTTCTTTTTCTTTCGCTTCTTCAATTCCTTTTTTTTTCTTGTTGTTGTTCTTGTTGTTGTTGTTGTTGTTGTTCTTCTTCTTCTTCTTCTTCTTCTTCTTTGTTGTAAAAGGACGTGTCTCGAGCGAGCTCCAGAGTTTTTGTAAGTTTTGTCGGAATTATACTGTTTATAATTACAGTTTTAATACTAGTGTACTACTAGTACACAGTACAACCATACCAAACCAAGTCCACCTTTCTTGTGTGTTAATATTTGTAGTTTTTATGCTTTTTTTGTGGTAACCTTGTGTAAGAATTTTTTGGCCACTATGGCCAGTGAAGCCGAACAGGCCTCCCGGGATAAGCCGGGGACCAGCTCGGCTCAAAATACCGTTCCTGTTTCTGCTGCCGAGCCGTTCAAGGCCGTAAGCAGAAACAATGGTATCGTTTTTGGTTCTGCAGCACATGTTCCTATTCATGATTACATAAGAGCGTTTGTAGACACCATTCCAGCTCATTGTATAGTGTCTGCCTCTCGTATCAGTAACCAACGTAATGCTATGTATCTGAATTCCGAAGAAGCAGCCTTGAGTGCCGTTAACAATGGTTTGACCTTTAGAGGCGCATTCATACAAGTTGGTTTTGGTTTTGGCTTTGGTTTTGCCCACAACACGTCTCACACTATCTAATGTTTACTCAGAAATTCCGAACTCTGTTCTTGTAAAACAAGTCTCTGCTTTTTGTAAAGTAGTCTCACAGATTCGTCCCATCCCTATTGGTTTCAAGGATAAACAACTAGCTCACATCATGTCCTTCCGTCGACAAGTCCAGGTGCTGCTTACTCCGAATGTTACCCTACCCGATTTCGTTAACTTTATTCACGCAGGCACCAATTATCGCGTTTTTCTTTCCACTGAGGCGGCTCGCTGTTTTGAGTGCGGAGAGGCTGGACATATCGGCAAGAATTGCAAAAAAACCGCTCGGCCAAATGAGTCCGCAAACTCTACCCTTACGTCAACACAGGCAAAAGGAAAATCTGACCCACGACATCCCCCCCAAAGTGTCTAAACCCTTACGGTCTGAACCTGAAACCCTTAATCTGAGGGCGTCCCCAGTACACACAGAAAAGCCTAGCGGCTCCAGCCCTAGGCCCGCCTCTTCGCGTTCAATGGTTGACGAAACCGCTGAAGGGGCCCTTGCGCGTAGGCCTACAACTCCGGTTGCGATAGTTTCCCGTAGCATTAATAATAGTCCACCTAGCAGCTACCCCACAGGCAGTAGCCAGGACAAAGTTCCTCCTCTCGTAACCCCCACAATTTCTTTGACCCAAACCCTTTGCGACCCCATCTGGGGAGCACCGCCCGCCCCGTCCAGACTTTTCGCAGATGTTGTTAAAAGGAAACAACCTCCCGAACCTTCTTTGGTAGACTCCCCTAAACTTACTCCAATTGTGTCTGCTACCCCACCGCGGAAACTAATGAGAAAAGTTTCCTCTCCCGTGACCTCAGAACCTCCCTCCCCTGTATCAGTATCGCTCCCTGCGTCACCAATCCCATCCTCTCCCGCTTCCACGGTAGACACTGTCGACACTGATGACGTGGCGGGATGGGATGATACACAGACTGACGATGAATCCTTTGACTGGGCCTCCTCTTTTCCGTCCAGTCAAGGACCCCTCTCTTCAAAGGAAATTTGCAAATTTCTAAAGATTGTCAAAGCACGGAAAAAACCTCTAGAGGTAGCGAGAAAATTCACTTCCAACATATCAGGACTTGTAAGACAACTTAGACCCCTGAGGAACAGTCCTCTGTTTACTAAAAGTACACAGCAGAGGATTTACAAATTGATCAAAAATTTAGATATCTAATATGGCCATCTTCTTATGTAATATGAGCGTAGACCTGCATGCCTTTCTCTCCCTTTTTATGACGCTGTCGTTGCTCACCCTTAATACTGGAGGTTGCTCCAATGCCATGAAGAATGCTTCGGTGTTTAGTTATGTTGAAAATATTGCGTTTGATTCTGACATTGTGTTTCTACAAGAAATTAATGACCTCTCCCAGAATTCTCAATGTTGGAATTTGTGGTCATCCTATAAACCTTTTTGTGCCCCCGGGCATAATCGAGGATCCGGAGTAGCTACCCTTGTGAAGAACAATCTTTGTAGTGATATTGACTCCTTAGTTATACTTAATAGCCACATTATATATGTTAAAATTGAGTTCGATGGTGGTATGTATCATTTATATAATGTGTTAATGCCACAACATGACGGCCTTGCTATTAAGGCTGTTCATCTTCTTGCGTATCATGTTAATCAGTGCAGTGATGGTGTTATTATTATTGGCGGTGATTATAACTGTACCCTATCTCCGTCATTAGACAGATTGTGCATGCCTAATGAGCATAGACCTAAGTTATCTTCTGCCCTCAAGGAAGTGATTGATAGTAATAAACTATGTGATACGTGGCGCAGACTTCACCCTCATGAAAAGAAATACTCTTGGCATAGGAACAACCCTCACAGCGTTAATGGTGTTTCTAAAGCCAGACTTGATCGTTTTTATGTGTCTTTTCCCCTAATACCTTCATTACACTCTTGTCGTATTCTACCTTGTACTCTCTCTGATCACTGTGCGATTTCCCTGAAAATTAAAATTCCCCCACAGAAGCCAAGAGGATGTGCTTTTTGGCATCTTAATAATTCCCTTCTTGATGACAATGACTATAGAAGTATTATTAGTCATTTCTGGACTGACTGGCAAAATAAAAAAAGCCGACTTTCCTAACATTCTGTCATGGTGGGACTTTGGTAAATCCCACATTAAGGTGCTCACTCAAATGTACGGATCTAAGTTAGCCAATGAGAAGAAGGAAACGATATTGAATATCAATAAAACCATCGACGAACTGCATTCTTCGCCTGAATTCACGCCTGATATCCAGCAGGCTCTTGCTGAACAAAGAACTGAACTAAACATTCTCCTTAAGAATCAAGCCAAGGGTGCTCTTGTAAGGTCACGTTTTCAATATGCTAATGAGATAGACACTAGCTCATCCTATTTTTATGGTCTTGAAAAATCAAACTCTACTTTTAAAACACTCTCTCGTACCCGTCTCCCTTCGGGTAACATTACAGAGGATCAGAACGATATTAAAATTCACGTTCGGAATTTTTATAAGAATTTGTACTGTCGTGTACCTATTGATGAAAATTCGGTTGATACTATTTTATCTGATCTATCGAAACTCAACCCTGAGGATTCAAAACATCTTGACGCTCCTTTGTCATTCAATGAACTTAATATTGCTGTCACACAGCTCGGCAAAAATAAAACGCCTGGTCTAGATGGACTTTCTTCTGAATTCTATCAGACTTTCTGGCCCTTGATAAAAAATGATCTCTTCTCTGTATTACAATATGCCATAAGTACTGGAACCCTCCCACATACTTTTCGTAGAGCAGTGATTACGTTGATTCCTAAAAAAGGAGACCTGGCAGACATTGCAAACTGGCGACCAGTCTCTCTTCTAAATAATGATTACAAAATTTTTGCAAAGATTCTTGCCAATAGATTGAAACATTATATTACTAACATTGTATCTGAAGACCAAACGTATTGTGTTCCAGGTCGAACGATTTATGACAACTTAAATTTGATCCGAGACATTGTACACTTCTCTAATTGCAATGATACCCCTCTTGCAGTAGTTAATTTGGATCAAAGGAAAGCCTTCGATAATGTAGATCATAATTATCTCTTCAATACCATGAGAGCTATGGGCTTTGGAGAATATTTTATTTCTTGTATTCAACTTTTGTATAATGACGCAGAGGGCTTAGTCAAAGTGTGTGGATCCCTCACTGCGCCTTTTCCTTTTCAAAAAGGCATACGCCAAGGTTGCCCTTTATCTGGCTTTCTGTATTCTATAGCCATAGAACCTTTTCTTCACAAGTTAAAAGTTAATCTTTCATCGTGTTCTTTCTCCTTACCCAACACAGATATGAATGTCTCGGTATCTGCGTATGCGGATGATATATCAATTTTTGTCACTGAAGACAAAGGCTTTGGTATTATTCTAGATACATATAACACTTTTAGCAAGGCCTCGGCTGCCTGTCTTAATTATGTTAAATCTCAAGGACTGTGGGCCGGATCATGGTCGAAACGTAGAGACAGGCCCCTTGACTTCCTGTGGAATTGCGAAGGTCTCCTCTTTCTTGGAGTTCATCTAGGAAACAATAATAATTATGTAAACAAAAATTGGTCAAAGTGTAAAGAAAAACTGAGTAAGACTCTATCTCGATGGAGCTCCCTTTCTTATAGTTTGTCCTTTAAAGGCAGAATCATTATTGCTAATCAATTAGCTGCATCTAAACTTTTCCATTGTCTTGCAGTTTTGTCTCCCCCTCAGCAAACACTAATTGAACTCCAAGAAATGCTTATTAATTATGTCTGGTCTGGTAAACGACATCTTTTAAGAAAGCAAATTCTGTTTCAACAACCCAACAAAGGTGGACTTGGTTTGGCATGTCTCCAAGCACGAACCCTTACATTTCGTTTTGCCTTTTTACAGCGTTATCTCAATCTCTGTTCTCATCCTGCGTATGCCCTTTGTTCTCATAATTTTCGCAGATATAAGAAACTAAATCTTGATTTTCCTTTGTTTCTGACTGAATTAGACCCAAAGTTTTATACCAGCCTTCCTTGTTTCTATTCGGAAATTTTGCGTGCTTGGATTACCTCTGGAGCAAGCGTCGAGACATCGTCCTTTACTGTCAACCATGTGTTAAACATTCCCTTGAATTATTATAAATTTCTTCAATTTACACTGGATGGCGACAAGATCTTCCCTGTTAGACTATTTGCATGTGGAATCAAACTCGTCAAGCATCTTGTAAACCCGAACAACGGTACCTGGCTCCGAGCAGACGAGGTCGTCATTGCCTCCACTTTGCAGCGTCCGTCTTTACGCCTTTTGGAACTTGACCTCTCTCGACTTCACAAAGAGATTTCCGGTTTGTTTCCTAGATTCTTTTCGAACAGCGGACTAAGACTGTCAGCAGCTTCAGCTTATCTTCATAATCTGACTGAACCTGTTACCTCTCCGTTCTCGATCATAACTAAAGACAACAAGAACATTCTTGCCACGCCGACTAAATCGATATATCGAATCTTCAACCGTGCTATTAACTTTCTTCCTAGAGCTCAAGTTACTCATTGGCACGAGGCTGGGTTACTTTCCCCTTCTAAACTAATCAACTGGACTGAAATCTACTGCTATCCATCATCTAAGAAAGATTGGGACACTCAGTACAAACTATTACACAATGTTCTTCCGTCGCTTGCCGTTCTTCATCATCTTAATCCCGATATCTCCTCTTCATGTGGATGGTGTGGCAAGAAGGGAACTATTCTACACCTCTTTATCGAGTGTACTTCTATACAACCGGCCTTGGATCTTCTTCATCATCTTCTGTCAAGTCTTCTACCCGAAGTAAACATTGACTTTGACCTCTACTGGACTCTGGTTCCACATGCAAGAGGTCGTAACAGGGAGGCCGTGCGCCTATCCAACTTTTTTATTGTCATTCTTAAAAGCACATTATATTGGCTTTATCGTACCTCTCGTTTTCTTGATCCACTTCCTTTTTGGAAACTTAAAATCAAGAACAGAGTCATTCTTGATTATGAATTTCACAAATTACAAAACAATTTGGTGTTATTTCATAAGATATGGTCGTACAATAATGTACTCTTTCTTTCAGATGATATTGATCTCACATGGTTGATTTAATTGTTGTTTGTGATCAGTTTGTCTTGAGAAGAAGCTCATAGTTGGAAGTTATGAATTCCCATAATTTAATCGTTTTGAAACACTCTATGGATGTGTAATCATTTGTAATCAGTGTTTAGTACAATTTATGTTTTTTCTCAATTTCTACCGTCGAAATTATTGTTTTTTTATGAATTGTTTAATGGTTACTTTCTCATGTATTACGTACTACTTGTTGTTGATTATTGGTATATGATTCACAAACACTTATTATATTAAGTGCATCACTGTTATTTTTTTTTATCTGTTTTAATTATTATATGTATTGTAAATAAAGTTTTACTTTCAAAAGTCAAAAAGTCTTCTTCTTTTTCTTCTCCCCCGTCATAACCGTCTGCTTCTTTATCATGCATTACAGCCTCCCTGGGGTATCGTACTATACTAGCATCTTCTTATTGTGGAATAATTACTTATTGAGGCTCCGGACATGTATTTTGCGGTTTGGGGAATATTTATTTCTTTTTAGATGTACTACAAATTCTTTATGTTTCCTTGTTTTTTAAACCAATTTAGTGATTTAATGCATATTTCAAGTTCGGATTATATCTGTTTCCATGTGTTTCTCTGTAGAGTTCTGTTCTGGAGAAACATTTCAATGTTACGATGGTACATGTATCCCAGGTAGATCAGTATGTGATGGAAATCAAGACTGTCGTGGACTTAATATGGAAGATGAACTATCGTGTGGTAAGAATAAAGATGGACCTTGGCAAGGGTTTATAAAAGTCGTTATCAACAATTGATATAAACTTTTGAAATGACTGCATGGGTTGACAAAAGGAAATTTGTTATAATACGAGGTGGCACTTAAATATTGGACATGATTTATATAAAATAAGACCCCTGGTCATTTTAAATTGAAAATGATTGAAATTGATATAATCTAAACAAACAAAAAAGAAAAAGAAAAATTATTGGCTGGGTAGCTTTAATCCTAGAAAGACTGGGATTTTTAAACATTTAAACAACTGGGGGGGGGGCTGAAAGGGCCCCCCTAAGATCTCGGCAACCGAAACTCTGATCGTCTACAAATTTTTCATGGTAATAGATGTCCATGAGATTTACAATATTCCATAGTTAAAATATTTGTATTGATTATAATATGCTAATTAGAGCTAATCTACAGTATTATGCAACATTTGTATTTTTGGACTATTCTTTAGATATGGTGATTCTTATGAAACAAAACTGTTTTCATGGTACAATATACATGCTAAGATTATATCTACACAATCCCATAATGATAATTATCCAACTTATGAATAATTAAGATGTCATATGATATCATGAACACGTGTTTTGGTGATGATTTTATGTGAAGTCATGGAGGACATTTTAACTACCTCATGATTGAGTGCAGTTTTATTTGTCTTTTGTATAGTTCGTCATTTGCTCTATATCATGCATACATTGTTCTAATCAATCATTCTAATTAGTACTAATTAATATGCAAATATGAAAGTTTGACAATTTTTCACTTTTTACACATTGTCTCTGGACAATATAACTTGTAAATTGATGACCTAACGTTTACAGAGTACAATAGGGGGGACGATACATTGAGGTGTTTGAACGGTGAGAATCTCGACTCAAGATGGCGCTGTCTCTATGACTTTGATGAGTATGGATTGCAACAAGGCTGCCGTGACGTCACTCATCTTCGTAATTGCAGTGAGATGAATAATTTTGAAGCCAGTTCATGGGATGATACATATATAGCTTAACAAATCTATAAAGCCCATCGCACACTATACGATCCGATTTCGGAAGAATCTACAATTGCATTTTAAACGAACATTCAAACACATAAACCCTGCATGGCCGATGATCTATATTATCATAAAATACAGGAAATTCCATATTTCAAGGGATCTCATGCTTTCTTGTAAAAGGAAATGCTAAATCGGCTCTCAGAGTCGTAATGCCGTCAGACCAGTAGTACGATTGTCTACGATTTGAAACCGATCCAAATTTCCTTCTAACTAGGTCGATAGTATTCTTATCATTATTTAGAAGCTTAATCAGGAAGAAGAGGTTTGATTAGATTTATTGTCTAATGCAATAAGGGAGTTTACAGATAGTACATGGTACAAATGACCCCAATTATCCACAGATCTTTTACACATGGAGAAGTTCCACTTTGAGCATATTAGAATAATAAATACCAACGTCTTAGATGTGCTTCATGAATACCTTTTGTTTGCTCTCTTGAAATGAATACTTCCACCTGCGTATCATAGAATGTACCGTTGGTGCATAAATGAATGTTACATAACTTTCATGAGCGCATATCCAGTATACATCTCTGTGGGTTTGACCTTTTTGGTACAAATGACCTTTATCTGCCCATGCGCAGATTGTATCTATGAACTGGCTTATAGCCATTTTATTGAAGATCGGATCGAAGGAAGATCGTTTAGTGTGCGGTGCTTAATATATTCATATTTTCTTAGAACTTAGATCGATGCCACTGGGCTTCCTACTTTCAATGTTCTCATTACAAGCCGCTATTTGTTTGTCGTACTGTGTAATACCTTCTATGATAATCGTTATGGTTCATTCATTATAATGCTAAATATCCTATTAACAATAAATCAAATCATATAGAAAAGTGTAAAACTGAAATATTGTAAATTGAAATTGATGTGATCTGTGTGCGATAAAACTTGCATAGCAGCTATATTGCAGCATATTTTGTGTGTGAAATAAACACATGTATTTTGTCCTTCGTGAGGAGGAGTTCTCTATACACGTATCACATAATTGGAACCTGATCTTTCCATCATCTTGTCTGTGTAGGCGAAATTGAGTGTTTTGGAAACACTTTCAAGTGCGCAAATTCTTACTGTCTTCCTCTACGGCGGCGTTGTAATGGTGTTGCGGATTGTCCAAATGGTGAAGACGAGTTTGGATGTGGTAAGCTGAGTATTATGATGGACGAGTTCACTGTCTGATCGAGAAATTTGAAGAAAGTTAGACTACATGTGTTTGCATGGAAGATAAATTAGTGCCTTTTGTAACTTATTCAGCTAAACTATCCCGACTAGCACTCGTGCTAACTTTTGGTTCTCCCTTTAACAGCATTTAAAGTTTTTAAGTTTAAAATATCCTTTATTTGAATCACTTATATGCTATTGGAACTCTGTGTATTTCAATTCCAGCCACAAATCTCTACGTATTATTAAGTTATAGCTAATTCACAGGTTTGATATGACATGATATATGATTAATTTAATTTGTTCATATGGTTCAACTATGGATATTTTTTCTTCTTTGTAACTCATGTACATGGATATGTATAGAAATGTTATTTTGTTACCCACTTGACATTGTGTTATGTTGTTGTTAGTAAATTCAAAATTCAAAAAAACTGACTGGAAATTTACATGTGTTTCTGTGTTCATTTTATTCTCAAAAACACACACTTGTATTTAAGAGTTAGCTTGTAATACACCAGATAGGGATTGATTAGGGATCTAAGTGAGGTAAGGGAGCGATCAATACGACATTTATTTTTCAGAAGAACCTGATAAACCTCACTGGCTCTCTCCAGGCTTTAACATCTACTTTGGAATCATGAGACCGGGTCCCTATTCTCTTTAAAAAAATAGGTCATGGTAAACATGGCAAATACAGAATAATATCTTGCCAAAGAACATGAGTGCCTAGCCAGGGATTGAACCAATGACCTTCACATTTCCAATCAAGTGTTTAGCTGACTAGACCATGCCCTCTTTTATCATCATGCATTCTAACATGTCTAAACACCTGCATTGTTCCATGATAGAAACCTATTCCTGTCCTGGATTTCTACGATGCCACGGAGAGAGGTACTGTGTTACAGACGATCAGATCTGTGATGGGGTAAAGGACTGCCCTGATGGGGATGATGAGATGTTCTGTGGTAAGTTAATAGAGAGAGAGAGAGAGAGATAGATAGAAAGAGAAAGAGAGAGAGAGAGAGAATTCAGATAGGAGAGAGAACGGGGGTAATGACGAGCGAGGAGAGGAGGAGGATAGCGAATTGTAACAAAAATGAAATATATAAGGCTAAGAGTCCAAGAAGCTACAATGAATAAGAGTGACGCACTAAAGTATGGTGAAAGAGAAAGATATGCTTTTAAGAAATACTGGAGCCACGTATCTATAATAGTTTGATCAAATAACTTGTTCTCATCACTTGCTCTAGACATCGCTTGCCCCTCTGGATGTTCATGTGATGGTCTCAGTTTTGATTGTCGTTCGTTCGAGGTATGGACACCCGAGCTGGCTGCTAGTATCACAACAGATGCCCGTCAAATGTGAGTATACAACCGAAGTCTTCAAAATACTTCAAGTGTATAACATGCCCCTGTTATTATAGGCAAAGTACTTTCGTATTTCGGAAATGTGAAAAACCTTATACATTTCATTAGATCTCGTAATCCCAACTTTTTCTCAAGCCCTGAAAATGGTTTCAAGTTACGGAGCTCAAGATGTGATACATTGCGTATGGAAATTGCCCTCTAGTGGAGTTTTAGGACATTTTAGTACAAACAGCAAACTTGCATGGATTTTAGAGTGTGACGCTTCAGATTCCAAAATGATTTAAATTATGAGTGATGGAGAAGTTACTGTGAGACTAGGTACAGAGTGGTTCAATATGATACACTTCTTTCACCAAATTTTTCTTCATGATATTTTCTATATTTTGGGGGTATTATCATACAGAGTAATTGCTAATGCATCTGGCAGTGTTCGAGCCAAACGAAAAGCAGATCTGTATTGGAACCAGACAACGCTAGAAGATGTCCTCTATCTCAATCTATCTTCTTACGTGCTACTACTTTCACTGTAAGTGCATAATTTGGTTTACTCCTTCGGAAGTTTTCAAATTTAGTAAACGGTTTCGCCCGAAACCTGACCACTTTCATTTCTTTTAAAATAAGTACTACCTTTTTGTCAGTGATAATTCATCGGCATACGTGTCTTTATGTGCAATACCACATACCCTCTAAAAATCGCCTGGTGACACCTCTCTGTCACTGGTTTCCTAACATTGCGTCTTTGTCAAATTAATATAGTACAACGTACAATTGTTTCTTTCCCCAAAAACTTGCTTATATACTATATTCAACATATTGTCTGGTTTTCAAAATTTTGTTTCTTGTATTAAATGTAATGCAACGAATATTATCATTTTATTATTTTGTAGCACCTCAGATCAGCAAGTTATTTGTAAGCTATACCAATAAGAGTTGTACTATCCTTTTTTCCAAAGGGATTTACCTGGTAATGGAATCGAATCGATTGCACCTGGGACCTTTACTAGCCAACGTAATCTAAAGAAATTGTAAGTATATATTCTGTTTCGGAAAATTTTATTAATACTGTTTGACAAAAATTTATCATATTGGTTGCTCGTACTCAGATTCAGGAGATATAGTGAATAATTTTGTATGTTCCTGATTCTCTAGCGAAACTATTTTGTGTTTCAATCTCACAATCTAATATTCCCGTGTGTATAGTTGCGTATTAACTTGTAATACAATCCAGTCTTAGTAGGAATATTATGCATAGTGTATAATTAATAAACAAGCAAAGAAACAAACCGGCAATCTGATATTGTTATCGGATGGAAATTTTTACAAGATATAACGCTAATTATAACGTCGATATCCCATTTTTCATATGGCCACATTATGTTTACAATTATGTCGTGTTAGAGCAATAACTTTGTATTTTAAGGTAATCTGCATTTAAACAAAAATACAATTGATATCAGTACGAAAACACATAATTAAATATTGTTGAACATTTGTTGTTTACATTGGCTTATTATTTATTTGACAGGGATCTTTCTAGGAATAACATTTGGATGTTGTATGCTGATACTTTTCTTGGATTGAATCGACTTAATGAACTGTAAGTTTAAAAAATTACCAATATGCCATTTGTAACATTTGGTCAAAACACATTTTTTCATTGTAACTTCGATTGTCCCGGAAACTTTTGACGTATTTATAGCTTTCATTTCACGAGGCTGATGTGTGTTTTACGGCATTAATCAGCGTATAGATCTCCCACTTTCAAAGAAGGAGGTCTACAGCTGTTTTATCACACACATTAGAATTACAGTGTAGCTTCAAGTATAGTCCAGAATCTGCCCAGTCCTTTATAATTCCCTACACACTTGATTCCAGCCGTCGAAGATGGCGTTATCAACAAACTCATAATTATGCTCACCAGCCCAGCCTGAGGATAATTAAATGATCACGCCATCATCGGCTGGTAGCAAGTAAGTAGGGAGAGGAAGCGTTGGTGTGGTGGAGATCAAAATTAAATAGGCCAGATTCTGGACTACTTCAAGTAGAGACAGACATTGAAGTGTTCTCAATAAAACTTTGTGACAGATTTATGTTATGCCGCTGGTAGAATCAATGCAAAAGTAAACACTGTGTATGCGGTATGTATGTACATGTTTATTTGAATAGGAAATATTTCAATATGTCGATTAGTATTGAAATTATGTTGATCGTTTATTGACGTCCTCAACTGAAAACATATGGCTATTAAATAATAGTTGTTCCTTGTCATGTGAGAGCCTATTCATGACTTCTTCATTCCGCTAATCAAAACAAAATTTCAGGGACCTGTCGGCAAACCCATTGATGATCCTACAACCCGGTGCCTTCAATTCTCTCACCAGTCTACCGTTCTTGTAAGTTTGACAAGGTTTAGTCATCTTCTTTTATAATCTTCATTTATATGTAGACATACACGATCATTTCACCTTTCGTCTAGAAGAAAACGATTTGCACATGGATTTAAAGATTGATCATATTATTAGAGATTGATTGAAACCAAATTACAGTAAAGCCCCTATCACACCAAACTAGTTCTCACTACGTTTTGAAACCGTCCTAGAAAATCTTCAAACGGGTTGTGGTCGGGGTAGAATGTATAAATAATGTTTATAATACGACCCTAGTTCGCTCATAAACAGTCCTCAATACGTCCATCTCATTTAGACCCCGTCCACACATGTCAGTTCATACAGTTTAGATCGGGTAAATTTGCAATTTCCAGGCAGTCGAAGCCAGTCCCCGCTATTAACTAGTTGTACCTCGTTCCAAATGGTCGGGTTACACATTTAGTTCAAACAAGTTGCGAACTAGTTGGTTTGGACGTATTGGAAACGAAGTAGAACTTGTAAAGAACTGGATTAAACTTATTACGGACGGGCTTGGACTGCTTGGAAATGGCAAATTTACCCGATCTGCACTTGATATGAATTGACTGTGGACGGGGTGTTTATGAACGAATTAGGATCGTATTATAGACTTTATTTACACATTCTACCACGACCATAACCCGTTTTAAAGATTTTCTAGGACGGTTCCAGAACGTAGTGAGAACTAGTTTGGTGTGATGGGGGCTTATACTGCTGCTAATTAATGCTCGACCACAGCACGTTGTAACACGTTCCTAGTAGGATCGAAGTACAGCAATTCCGTTCATAGTACGGCAATCAATCCGTTTGTAGTTCGTCCTCCTCGTTTTAAGTACGTTGTCACTCCGTCTAATTGCAAGACGGGGATAATTTTGAACAGGCTCAAAGTTCTAGAGCACTCTCCCGTACTCGCCAGTTCGAGCCCGTCCATGAAGTCCTCAAACAAATCGTAAACCGTTGATACTACGTTCAACTCCGTTAGTTTACAGTTTGAGCCCGTTTGGCACCATTTTCCAGAACGTAGTGAGAACTAGTTCGGTGTGTAGGTGGCTATAGGGAAAATTGTTGACCTACGTAACCATGGTTATAGGCGATTATCTAATCTCTTATCCTTTTAATTAAAAGCCAAATCACTAAACTATAACACCACCACAATCCAATCATGTGTTCGGAAAAAAAATTTAAACTTCATTCCCGGTCCCCTATATTGAATATTACTTCTAGTAATAGGACTTTTGAATCACCTTAATGTTCACTATATAATTTGAAAATACATTTTTGATGATGTCATTATTACAGACGCTTGCAGAATCTTGAGTTAGCAGCTCTTGAATCTGGGACTTTCACTGGACTTTATTCAGTCGAAGTTATGTAAGTTTTAACGCCTCATTGTAAGTCATTTTAAGACGAGGAATCATACCTGACAAACTTGTTAATTTTAACTATTTTGTAGGAGTAAAACTTTTGGAGACTTTCTAGAGTAATCAAGTTTCATCATTTTCAATCACAAGATAGATGGTACGTGGCGCTATTTATTCCACATGGAAGCACTGCAATAAGATCAAAATATTGTGCTATTGTCGTATATCCTGTTATACTACACTGTCGCTCATAAAGTTGGAATATAAAATCCTCTGTGTGCCCATGCCTTGAGCCATAATGCATGGCCGTCCAGAGGAATTTTTTATGTTGGGGACCGGGGTAAAATGCAATAAATTATTGAAAATTTATTACATTTTCTGTTTTTTTTTATTTATGGAAACTGCCCCCTACCCTAGCCCCCGCTGCATACAGTCATGGTTCAGTGACAAAGCAATGGCCTCGTAACTGTGAGGCCCCAGGATCAAGACCGTGTCGAGGTGCTATATTAGTGCCCTTTTGTGGGGCATTAATCCTCATTACTGTCATTTATGACTTAAGGGCGTAGGTCCCCTAGTTGATAAGCATAGTAGCATACACTTGCTTTAGCAGTCACACAAAACACACATTGGCAAATTATTATTCAATAAAATTTGAGAATGTATACTATTATCTAGATCTATTATTTTTAAATCGTTTTTAAAATAATTCCGTAAATTGAGGTAAAACAAAAATATTCCAACTTTATGAGCGACAGTGTATATCATGATAGGCCTATATCATATTGTTTTGCATCATTCTCTATCATGTTAAACCATGTCAAATTATATTGCATCATATCGTGTTACAGAAATGTTATAACTCTGCAACTCAAACCATAGGACATATTAATGTTCGGGTTTGCTATCTTCTTTTTATTTCCGTATGATAAATCTTGCAGAAATCTAGCAGACAACAAAATCAAGCGGGTGGACACTGGTGCTTTTGATGGTCTGAACTACACGAGCACATTGTGAGTATATTCCTATGAATTCAAACAATTTAATCAAAATAATGTTTTTCCTTCATGTAATCATTTTCTTTGCGTCGAAATTGTACAAACAACATCTTTGTTAAAACAGTGTTCATTATTCATTTTCCCTGTCGAATAGTTTTATGATGCTTCTATTTAACGTTTGCATGTGTTATATTAATTAATATGTATCTTGTAGTAATATAACACATGTATATTGATCCATCCAGCTTTCCACAATTTAAGTAAATGTTAGTAGGCCCATTTTTAGCATTGCTGCCTTGATAAGTCATTAGGGCATTCACTGAATGCTTATTGTCAACTGAATGCTTATTGTCAGTATCAAATTACGACCTCTAAGTCGAGCGAGGCAAATGTAGATCGATGCAGTAGTATCGATTTAAACCCGTGATCTGCACGCATATAATTTATTCTTTATTCATGAAAATACAAAGGCCTATAACATAATGATAATGATGAGACCCGGAGCAGAGATTTAATTTGTATTTGATGCCTCTTATGAAGTGTTAACATAACAATACACAATAACAAAATAGAAAAGAAAACATTACATCAGTTTTTATAATGAAAACATGCCCGGCAGCGCATTCAATAGGTATCAGAACTATCTTGCAAATTAATTTATTTAGCGATATTGATTACCTGTAAAAAGCATACAAAAGCAAATAACCTTGGAATATTGTTTTTATTGTCATGCAGAATGCTTGAACGTAACGACATCAGTCAGTTTGATATGGATATCTTTAGAGGACTGGACAGACTTCGACACCTGTAAGTTTACTATCGACCTTATTTCTAGTGATGTTAGTAATGGCCGTGATAAGAACACAACTAAGTTTTTCGAAAGTTAAAAAGGGCATTGGTAAAGTTTGAACTGACGTAAAAGAAGATTTTCCATCTTAAGGGATAGCCAAGTCCCACTTTGACTAGTGTCATTCATCATGTTCTCTAAGACAACTGGTTCCGTAATAAAGTTGACTAACCTGTTGATGTGATATGAAGTCAGCAATGTCGATGGAGGCAATACACACTGAACGTTGTAGACTTCTAATGACATTTACAAATAGATTAATTATAATTTGTGTATAATGCCTTTATGGCCTAAATATGCTACATTAAGCTTAAAGTAATTTTTACTGCAAGGCGAAACTTAAAATACAACACATATAAATTACATGGAATTTTCGGATGCAACAACAAACGTGTATCTTCGGATTCATAAGCAGAGGGGCATACATATTTTTCATTCATTTTCTTATGTTTTTATCGGCGAGTGGCGGGGTCTCCGAAGAATGTCGGGACATAGGCCGTATGCTTGAAACGAATCTTCAGTACAGTACGGAAATATCAAACTAAGCTTAACCCTAAAAGACTTAAGTTAGTACTATATGGCTAATAAGGTTTATGGGACAAATTGTCCTCGTCGAGATGATCTAGGAACTACTATCTTCATGAGCCGCTCTAGATCATGAAGATAAGTTTATTTTGTCAGACCTTATAACTTGAGGATTAGAATATTTCCCACGTCAAAGATAATTGAAAATTCTCCAGTTTCTCTCTAATTCCTCTTCGTTTAGATATTTCTATCGGCGCCTTCGAGTCAAACGTCCAAAGTCATTCATACCCGCACCCGTACATATAAGAACAAAAACCTCATCCAGTTACTTGTAAGCTTGAGCGGCATCATCAGACAAAATTATTTCCTTAATAGTGTTTACTATATAGCTAGGATAGATACATTCTTTGTCATGTGACCTTGTTTTGACCAATCGTTTTAGAGGATTCTTGATATATTTATAGGATGTAATAATTATGCCCATGCTCCATTAATGTTTCTTCCATCCGACCAGCTCGTCTGACCTGTTCTTATTTTGCTGCATTGTGCCTGGTCTTGAGAGCTGCTACCCTCCGGAGGACCAATTCTCATCGTGTGAAGACCTGATGCGATCCAATGTGCTCCGAATCTTCATGTGGATACTCGGTTTTAGTGCATTTATTGGCAACATCTTCGTCATTATAGAACGAGCACGAGAGAAGAAGAACTTCCGCGTCCAATCTTTCCTGATCCTCAACCTTGCTATATCTGACTGTCTGATGGGAGTCTACATGCTCATCATTGCCAGCGCGGATGTACACTATAAGAATGTATACGTTTTCCATGCAGAGGGGTGGAAAGCTAGTGGCATGTGCAAACTTGCTGGAATCTTAGCCAATCTTTCCAGTGAAGTCTCAGTACTTATTCTCACTATAATAACCTTAGATCGTTTCCTCTGCATCACATTTCCCTTCTCACAAAAGCACTTGGAAAGGAAATCAGTACGCATTACAGCAGCAGTGATCTGGTCAGCGTGTCTTATCTACAGTGTAATCCCAGCCCTGCCTATCCCATATTTTGGAGAGAGATTCTACGGACGTTCCGGTGTATGTCTCGCCCTTCCGTTGACCAATGTCAAGCCTCCAGGGTGGCAGTATGCCATGAGCGCCATCTTCATCAACTTTATTGCCATGGTTACCATCATTGGCTGCTACATTGTTATCTATATTGTTGCTAAGCGATCAGGATCAACACTGAGGACGAACAAGACCATGGATGCCGAGGTATGCATCTATGCATAATTTACTTAATTAGGAGTTTAGTGGAGAAGCCAATGATTCAATAGAATTATGATTATTTCTTTTAGGTATACTAACGATTTTGTTTATTAAATTCGATTTCCACCAGCTCAAAACATCTTAATTTGAAGGTGAATCTATAAATCTTTGATATTGATGCAATATGATTTATAACAAATCTGGTAACCACTAGGTACAGTAATCTTTGAAATCCCGTTAATTATGTCCAATATCGCTTTGCTTTACAGATAAAGTTGGCGGTCCGAACTGCAATCATCGTTGCTACAGATATCTGTTGCTGGTTACCTATCGTCATACTAGCATTTGTTTCTCTATCTAACTCTGCCATCATACCACCGACGGTCTACGCCTGGATTGCTGTCTTCGTTCTCCCAATCAACTCGGCCATCAACCCATATCTCTATACCATCTCAACAATAGATATTAAGACCAGACTGGCGTCGTTTCGCACGGATTCAAGCCGTTTCACAATCAGCAACAGTTACAGTAATCGCTACGCGGATCCAGGTACACGTAACAAAGGCGGAACCTCAACACAATTGGAAGGAACATTGTCTGCAGAAAGAGGTTAGCATTTAATACAAACTTGTTTTTATCTGCTTTTCTTCTCTTGCACGATTCTAATTTTTCAGCTATGCTGAAACAACAAGAAAATAGTGATATTCTGTGATACACAGATTGACTTTAATAAACCTGAACCGGAAAAGGGAATGCACCAGGAAAATAATAATGAATTATGACAAATAGCTCATGTGAATATATTTGTTTATCTATTCGGATATTTTAACTTACAGTGATATAAATCATTTTTTTAAACTTCCCAGATTCTACAAAATCTTTGGAGATGAACACAATGAAGTCTGATCGTTTCATTATGTCTGATGCACTCAAACTTATTAGAGCCAAGAAGCTTCACCTGAAAGTCGAGGATGTACAAGCGATAAGCACACAATTGTACGGTACACTCGACATAATCCACGCATGTGCAATGACCCATGGTTCAATAGATGCTGATCATATTGCAGTCGAGAAAAAGGTCAGTATATCAGTACGCGTTTCAGAGAAAAGCAGGATAAAGCATGATTAAATTTTGATACCATTAATCTTAAATTTCATACTATTTAAGTGGTAAAATCATTTAAACATGCAGTGTCTTGTATTCAAACTGCAATATTCTAACTATGTTCTCATTTTTAAAGTTTCCAAATAATCATTCAAGCGAGCTTGGCTTGATTTCGAGGACAAAGGTTGTACAATCACTTTTCTCCCAGGAAAATATTTGATAGATTACCTCCTTTGGCTATAGGAAAGAAAGAAAAACATCTTCAACAAATTCCTTTTTCAAAAGATTTTTTTTAAACTGATTTCAAACAAATTAAATACAGTTGTTTTTCATCTTTACATGAATTCAAATCATGTTCATTACATACATTGTACGATTGATGAAACAAAAAACGAAATCAATTATAACATTAAACAAATAACCCCATCCAACAAAGCACACTACTACCCCCCCCCCCCCACCGTACGACATAAAATAAGAACAAACGAGATCATCATTTCGTCAAAATCTCAGAATTAAACTCCTGAGCAGAGATGAATCATAAGGATCATATGTTGTGATATTAAAGGAAAATAAATACTAATATGACTTTGCATACAGTTTTAGAAACTCGAAGAACCAACCCCGACTAGCATTCGTGCCAACTTTTTTTTCTCCCTTCAACAACATTTTAATTGTTTAAGTTTAAAAATATCCTTTATTTGTATCACCTATACACTATCGGAACTCTGTAAATTTCCTTTCCAGCCTCAAATCTCTACGTATTATTAAGTTATAGCTAATTCACAGGTTTGATGTAACACGATATATGATTAATTTAATTTGTACATATGGTTCAACTATGGATATTTTCTTTTTCTTTGTAACTCATGTACATAGATATGTACACGACATGTTATTTTGTTACCCACTTGAATACATGTGTAACATTGTGTTATGTTGTTGTTAATAATAAAATTCAAATTCAAACTTTTCTAGGCCTACTTGATATCTCCCTACATACCTCATTTGAAAAATCTGAAAATCCCCATTCATCATGAATCTTCAAAACAAATAAATGTTGTAACTTCTCTATAAAATATTCATAAACCATCCTCGATAATAAATCTCTTGAGGAGCTTAATCTTCAAATCATGTTCCAAATACACACACAAACACATACTCACACACCAACAAAAAACACAAACGCACACACGCACACACGCACACACACACACACACACACCCACACCCAATTACACTCTCGAGTAGTTAATTCTACAGCAACTAAAATGCATTCAACAAGACAAGCAGGGCACATGTAGACATCTCTAATGTTGATTTGTCATATATATTGATGATTTAATTCTCATGTCTGTAGACTTTAATGATTTTCGATTATCATTTACCTATTCAGGAAACCGGAAAATGGACAGGCTTTATCCTGTTAACATCTAAATACGCCCTCAACGGTGGGATAGATGCCAGTCGTCTGAATCAAAATGATCTTGACCAACTTGGAGCAGTCATTGCAGAACTGAACGATGCAACGGGCTATTAAATGAATCCAAAGACAGATAAGACATTTCAGGGGTCTTCGCATTAAACTTAGTGAATGCCCATTCTTTCGGCATGATTGAAAGTGAAGATGAAACTTTTTAGAAAACAAGTTTATTTGAAAGCCATAAATATAAGAAGGGAAAACTTGATAACAGCCATATATTATATCATATATTATAAGGTAGCGCAATTAAAGATAAACTTTAGTACTGGTAATGCGATTGCATTGTGAAAGAAAAGGTGTGGAAGGATCAGAAACAGTTGATCATGTAGCATGTAAGTATTGGTGTGCACTGCAAGGTTCTGGAGTCATCAAAATCATAATAAATTTGACCGAGTCTTGGTAAAGTAACAATCACTCACATAGAAAGCTATATATGGGACAACACTCATGGTGTCGGGGCTAGTACTACCTTGATTTCCTTGTCTTTCTATGCTCATTACTCAGCCAGTATACATTTTCTTTCAAAATTGTTTGGCACATGTCATTTATTTGTAATCTTGAACATTCAGTGTAAGTTTCGTTTGATTCTGTGAGAATTAATTTTTTTTTTTACAAGTACTGGAGTTTATCTTTAACGGTTGATGGGACTTTTAGATGAAGTATACAATGAGTGAAAAATTCCTTTCTTAAATACAAAAGCAGGAGTATATCACAGCTACTGTAAAACAGTATATGGATTGTTATGTTTTATGTGTAAGAAAGTGTTGTGTCCAAGAAAATATGCTTGTAAGAATTGTTCGTGATAAAGCATTTGTTTTTTCATTGATTTCTTTAAAGAAACATTCGATTTCATAATTAACCATATTAAATTGAATATTAAATCATATTAAATTCAATATTTAATTATATTGAATTTAATATTTAATCATATTCAATTTCTTTCAAAATGCGGGTGTTCCTAATCATTGATATTCATTTATTTTGTGGATAATGACCAGGCACCGACTTACTGCAACAGGGTCGATATGCTGAAATACCTATTTCGGGGAATGGGGAGTGAAAACTGTTTAAAACTTTGAGGTATTTTATCTGTAATATTAAATAAAAGTATAGATTAGCTTTAATTGAGTATCGTGACCAATGTCTAATACTTTTGTTGTCCATTATCAGTCAATATTTTGGTCATGTTTTGTTTTTGATAATGAATTGTATAATTTTACTATTTATTGATTTCGTCATTGTTTCACACTAGATAAGTGCATATTTTCACAGAATTACGAAATTTATGAAAGCCGAGGAGGCGACGGATGTTGACGTACTATGATTTGGATTTATATACTTATGACTGGGTCTTTTCTTAAACTCGTCGCAATCTCAATTAACACCCGAAGAAGAGGTTGAGATTTCCATTTTCATTTTTTTTTTCTTTATAATTTACAAAAAGCTTATAGTAGATAAACTAGGTGAGATTTGGTTACCGATTTTAGGAGACGTGATCTAATTTCCGTCATTCTTTTGCGGAGGATAGCCCCCTCTGCCGATGCATAACGGATGCCTAGTGTGTTATCCCCAGTTATTTGTGTGTCTTCCTTCTATGCTATTTCTATCATATTGTCATTTGTTAGTGAATGAACATAGGCCTATCATTTCGACTATAACCTCATCACGAAATCAAAGCTTGGCATGTACGTATACACCAACAAATAGATGAACCAATGCAATAAAGTAAATTTGAACACGTCTTGAAAATGCGCTTTGAAAATTCATTGTTAGTATTATTGATATCGGACTGTCGGTGTCCGTCATAAGGTTCTTGTTGTCCGTAACCATGCCAACGTTTCTGTATGTCTTATTCAAATAATTGTTTATGGGTTCAGAATTCATCATTTTCACCTCTGTCATTATTATTAGTACAGCTTTTATTATTGTCATGTCTATTATCCTGAAAAGCGCTATATAAGAACTAGCTATTATTATTATTATCGTCACTGTCATAAGTATAAATGTTAAGATTATTTGTTGCTATCGTTATTAGTGTCCATTTATTTTTTCCCTTTGTCATTGTTGCAATAATTACTGCATTATGATTAATCATAGGCCCATTGTTAACATCACCATTTATTAGAATATTTTTGGTGTTATGTACGTGGGATTAAGGGTGTCGATGTGTGTAAGGTGAAAGGTGGGTGCCTCGAAATTATTCAACGTATCTGTAAGTTCCCCCTCCCTACTATGCATTACAACAACAAAAAAGATAATTGTCATCGAATAGCAATATTTTTGCAAGCGACCCTTCCGAATTATCTTGTCTATCCCCTACACAATATCTGATCTTACGGATCGCGCTGTCTAGTGTAATTCACCCTAGCTTGAATCTGACGCACCAAATGATTGTAAAGCGAACCGATCCCTCATGAGTCCAGTTTTAATGTGCATCACTGTATTTCCTTGCGCTAAACGATTTATAAGGACAATCACAACAAAGCAAGAATGTATGATGTTTCATTCATTTTCTCATTAAATCTTATTCTGTTTCAATGTTTTATTTTGATTGATTTCACTCTATTTAATTTACCTGTATATATATATATATATATATATATTTTATACATGAGTGCATGATGTAATCAATGACACATATTATACATGAATGTAATGCACTGACAATATTTCTACTTTGAGGACGTCGAAGGAGGGTCTCCACCAAAGGAAAACAAACAGAATACAAAATATAATAATTAATAATGATAACTAATAAATAAAAAAAATTCTCGCCTGCCAAAATATGTTTCAACAGTTAGAAATTGTAGAAAGATATAGGTAGATTGGCTGAGAGGATGTTTACATTCTAGAATCTAGAATTATTCTAGATTCTAAAACGACTAAAAACGAATAATTATAGTAGTAATAATAATTACATTAACGGTGTTTTCTTATTCAACGCACAGGTCCATCACGCCGCAAACACTCACGGCGTTCTAAAAATGTACAATTACCCCGGTCAAGTACAATGACCGAGCGGACAAATAATTATGTAGTCTCCACCTAGTATAAATCGGTTCCCAGTATGTCCGCTCCTTCATTCTATTTGACCGCGGTAATTGTACGGTTTAGTGGAGAGTATGTATATGTCTAGAAATATGTCTTGCCATAGGATATAATTCTAATCCTAGTTTAACCCTTGAACATGTTGAATGAATGAACTGCTTAACCACGATACCTCCACACAGTTATAGCAGGCCTTGTTAAAGACCCGGTCCTACTGCACTTACGGATGCAAAGAGGATGTAAAACGTAACAAAATCTTGCCATCCGTTGGAAAACGCTATGCATCCGTTGTGTACTCATTGCATAACATGTTTCAAACGCTCTATCCATCGAGCATCCGTCCACTGTGATTTCATCCGCGCAAAAAGTTTTGAGCTGCACAAAACTTTTAGAACGGATGAATTTCCGCCGCGTACGATGTAAATCCGCAAAAAATACGTGCAACAGACGTTCCATGTCCGTTATCATCCGTTAAACGTCCGCTGTATCCCATCTGCATCCTCTGGGAATCCTCGCAACTCACATCCGCTGCAGCTGAAAACGGAAAGAGGGAGGAAAGATAAGGTACATGGAACGTCTATACATCGTTAGTAGCACGGAAATAGAAAGGATGTAAGCGTATGCATCTCATATATAAAGTATTCAAAGCTGTCATCCACTTCCATCCGCTTTCATCCGCTAGGCTTCCGATGAACATCCGTTTAACATCCCCGCTACATACTACCCACGCCCGTTATTTTCCGTTCTGTTTTCGCAAATTTTCGCAAATTTTGTCCATTTCTGGAGCGGATGAAAACGGATGGAGCCATCCCCGAAATTTTGCTCGTCCGTTTTGTTCTACATGCATACTTTTTGTGTCCATCGGCCAGTGGGACCGGGCCATAACACTGACACTTGCCGACCTGCCTTAAAATAATCGTACGTCTTATTACGGGTCTTACTTTAATCTAACAGGCCATAGAAGCGCAGGGCGTCGTAACTTTATCGCACAACCTGATAATATAAAATTACAATATCATACAAACGAGGAATATGGATACAAAGAACGAAGAACAGGGATGCCAATCAAATGAGAGAGGACGAAAACATATAGTCAAAGACTAACGAGGCGCTAGATACAACAAGAAAGAAAATACCATGAAATGACGAAGAGAGAGAAGAAGACATGTCAGCGTGCACGCATTATTGCCATCCCTTACCATTTCTACAATGGTAACTTCAATAGCCAATTGGAAGCTGGCTACTGGTTAGGCTCCACCCCTTTCGAAGTTCGACGCGTTATTCCCTCTCTGCTACACGGGCAAGCTACACCATCAGTAGTTGTTTCGCGATCAAACAGCGAACATTGTACGCCGAGCCGTTGCTAAGGCTGCATCTCTCAAAGTAGCATCCATGAGCATCGCATGCACTAAAATATTTTGACCATGATTCTGGTATTTAAAATGTCTATTCGTCGCTGAGGTGGAAACATCGTGCCGTTTGTGGACCTCAGGTTTGAATGAAGTGGCAAAAATATGTGCGATAGGGTTGGCTGTATAAACGGTGGAGTGATAATAATTCTTTCTTTTGAAGCACACATTCTGGATTGTATCGAAGCGACGAAATGTAAGATTTCTATCTCAACGTCGACGATTTGATGTCGTTGTAGTTCTTCAATTCCTCCAAAATGTCTACCGACGTGGATTCTCTGTATCCGCTGGTGTCAGAGAGTAGTTATAGCTATTCTAACTCATCCGTTGAAAATGATGGCAACTGGCTGTTTCTTTTTACAGGATCTCTCTACTACATAGTTGCAATCATGGGACTCCTCGGTAATGGCACCGTCATTTATGTCATCCTGAGATTCGCTAAGATGAAAACTGTGACTAATGTATACATCCTTAACTTAGCTTTTGCCGATAACTTGTTTCTAATCGCACTATTATTCTTAGCGACGGCGACAGTTCACCCCATTTGGATTTTTGGCAAAGTTCTTTGCCATCTAGTGTACAGTATTGATGCATTGAATCTCTTTACAAGCATATTTTGTTTGACGCTTATGGCGATTGACCGCTATGTGGCGGTTTGTTACGCGGTCAGAGCTTCTTGTTACCGAAACATGCGCGTCGCTACAATTATCAACGTTGGTGTGTGGCTCCTCGCTCTCGCCGCAGCATCACCGATAATGGTATTTACTCGTTATGATCCCGAACAGCTCTCGTGCCGCCTACAATTTGACAAAGTTGTTGGCCAAAATGCAGCCTTGGCCGTGGCTAAAGCTTTCTGCTTCTACACATTTACGATGGGGTTTTTGATCCCTGTGGTGGTTATAGCAGCATGTTACTCGATGATCATGATAAGACTTCATAAAATGGGCACAAAGACGGGGAAATGGGAGAAATCAAGAAAAGTCAACCGTTTGGTGCTGTGCGTGATCATTGTATTCGTCGTATTTTGGTCCCCTTTCTTTTTCTTCCGTTTTATTGTAGCATTCGACTTTGACGTTATGCGAACTAATTATTTAATAAATGAAATCACGATCTTGCTCAGCTACATGAACAGTTGTGCAAATCCATTCTTGTATGGATTTCTGAGCGATAGCTTTAAGAAGAGCTTCAAAAAGGTATGGCGCTGTGGTGATAAAAGAGGTTATGAGCTGACATCGACGGATCATCGACCTTGGAGATTACGTAACCCTTGCCTGGGAGAGAAAACAGAGAGGAGCTCTGGGAGAAGACTAGGTAAACGACGCGATGACGACACAATGTCAGGAACAAGGTTAAATGCCTATCCTCTTACAGCAGTCACATCGGCAGTGTCTGAAATCACCATGCACCAGAAGAACGGGGCCACGGGAGCACCTTCATATGCCTGAATTACCACCAGTCGTGCCAGTACGTTTTCTCGAAGACTGCTCGCCGATATACCCCGAGTGTACATGCATCATTGGGTGATCAAACCTACCTGGGAAAGATGAGTGCATATGGCTTTCATATCGCGTTACAGGACGCCTTTCGCCAGCAGATTAATTGTGACTGGCCTTACTTTGATTAGGTGACGGACGCCGATCGAATCATGTTCTCAGATGGCGTAAAATGACCATACATGATTGATGAGAAGAAGCCACTCAGCCAATCCATACCTTGGATTATCTTGCTATTTTCTGAACATCGGACGGAAACAAGGGGGTATTATTGAGAATGCACTCTGTGGCTTCAGGGTTTCGTGAGCAGACAATGGTGTACTATTGCAGATTTTCAACATGCAGTTCAAATGGAAGGTGTATCATAACCGATTTTCAGACAGAAATGGCAGGCACCATGTACTTAGAGGTTTGGGTGTATTGCAGAATGTGACTGCTTTCCTGGATTTTTGCACAACGTAACCAAATGAAACGGGACCTATTTTTCTGGAAAACGCTAACGAAGGGAAAGGAATGACTTTGTTGTGAAGGCTTACGCCTAAATTGATCATAAATGTTTCTTAATTTATCCGCGATTACAGAACATAATATATGAGATAAAGATAGCCAACAATGGTTTAGTTTATGACAATTTCTTTTAAAAACAAATGATACTGCAACTACCACAACATTGCTATTGTCTTCACATTTTATTGAGAAATATGGCTTTAATATCTTGTATACGTTTATCTCGTTTTTCAAGATGTCCACTAATCGCCAACCCAATGTGACATGAATGAAAATGAAAATTGTGCAACTATCATCGAGTAGAAAGATGTATTAGTAGTCAGGTTATATTCAGGAAATAGCGTCAACAGTAATCAAAATGGTTATTATGCCCCCGATACTTGCTCATCTACACGATCAATGCCAAGTAAACAAATTCACTTACATTTAAGTTAGACTATTTCACTTATAAGGTTCCTATAAAAACAGTTTTCTTTGATTTCATCTATATTCAGGATACATGTATTGGTTCATCAATCGGTTCAGAATTCCACACGTGCATGAATATGTTATTCTGATCGCACCGTAATCCCTTTTTTTTTGGTGAGATGCTAATCAAAACTAAAACAAATTGCAAACAATTTGTGGCAAGATTTAAACTTCAAAAACTTTTACCCACAATGTTGGTAAGGTTCAGTACACCGGTGCATATTCAAGTATTGCATGCGCGTGAGGATTCTGTCTAAGGTAGCAATACAGTTTAGTCCTAGGAGACTGGAAAATTTCCCGGCTGATTAAAGATATAGCCCGTAGCTTTCTGACAATCTAGAAGTAAGTGTGCGGTTCACTGTGGCTCATCAGCCGCCCGTTTTAAACTAATTTTCTGATTAAATCTGACAAAAGCTTCAGGCATGCTGCATTATTAACGCCTTAATGAAACCGGGAGTTGGTCACGTATCCAATTTTATGCACCGAGTGTGAAATTGATTTCCATGGTCTCTATACAAGTCAACTAGTAATTAATTTTATCAGGTTTATCGCCCACTTTGGCATTTCTATCTTGCGCTGAATGAAACTCTTAACTGCATATTAAAATGTGACTAGAATTACATACTAAAGATGAAGAAGTCCGTACCAATGTGAAACTCTGTTATTATCTGTTTACATATATTCCCCTGTGCGCACACGGAATGGGCTCTCGGATAATCTATATTGGTGGGTTTTTTTAAGTCCTCGCTAATAGAGCGTACTCGGTTAATTTGTGTTTATGTATTAACATTTTCCAAGACTGCTATTGAATAGAAATGCAAATATTCGATCTGCATGTCTGTTGTCTTTTTTTTTTTGAAAAGGCTACTGTATTTTTCTAACTATGGTACCTTTTATAACGTTACCTGATGGAAAATCTTTTATTGTATTAGTTAACAATATACAGTTTGGCTTTCTTGATAATGTTGGTTCTTTATCTTAATTTACTTTAAATGTTCTTACTCCACGGTTTTTTCGATGGAATTGGAGAAGGAAAAAAGTATATCATTATGACTGCATAAGTTAACACAATATAATATAAAATGTACTTACAAAAATATAAATGTTGCAAAGTGATAATAAGGTAATAAAAGAAATTGAAGCCGAAAGCTTATTTATGTGAAAAGATCATCGTAAATTAAATCATCGTTAAAATTGAGCTTACTTCAATTGTTTTCACTTAATGCCGTTTGGCATCAAGTCTTCATCGAAATGAAGTGGAATAGTACATTTTTGGGATTGTGGCTTAACAATATTGAATATCTTCAACGTAAATGCATTTTATTGGCACACGATTGTGTGGTGTTAAGAGCTAGTGAGATAACACGTGCATTCTCATTGCCTTGAGATAAGTTCGCTGTAATTTGCTCGCATGCAATATCTTTTTAAATAGATTGGCATTCCCCGTCTTTGAATTTGCTTTCCATTACAAATATCTAGGTAGAGTGCAATTATTGCAGAGGTCCGCATTTTAATGTAGCATATATGGATGTTTGGAAAGCTAGCCGACAATTAGTGTGATATTAAAGAATTTTATTCACTGAGATGTTGTTTTCACATTGTTGTGTAAATAAGTTCAGTCAGCTTTTGAAATATGTGCTAATTAAATGAAATCATATTCAACTATTCAAGCCATTTATTAAATGGAAGGTCGATCAAAAGCCCAGCCCATTGAAAGAAATTGCAGTAGGAAAGATAGATTATTTATTTTTATTTTTTAAAAACCAAAAATTTAAAAATTAAAATCAAAATGATATGCTATACAATTATGGGGTTTTCTTTAAACCTTACTCAATTTGGTCAATTTGGAGCAGATATCTAGTGACAATTCCTGCCGTGGCTACGTTCAGTGTATGTTCGAAAGGAACAAAAGGGGTGGGTGGAGACTAATATAGTTTATCCGGTGATTACATTAAATTTGTTTGTTTAACAGTGATAAATGAAAGTCTATATTTACATATTCAATGAGTGTTACTTTCACCTATATTATTATTATTATAATCTACCTACATGTCTTACTGAGATTAAATATTAATTATTGGGTAAAAAGAAGTTTACGTGATATACAGCATTACGCAAATGTTATTTTAGCTTTAACCGATTGGCTTGATGCATCAGGATTGTCGTTTGGCCAAGACCATGATGTTCTCAGTCATGTGTTCTGGTCGTTATGAACTCATAACAAGAGCATAATTGACAAAACGAGCCAGCCTATTACTATAATTGCCATGGTTTTCCCGAAGGGATCTGCGTTTCTCTCCTAATATCTACAGGTTTCCTTGTTATTCCTTCCTCGTCTTGATATTTCCGAAAGGGCAAACTTTCTCCAACTCAGTGCAATTTGTCAAAGCAATTGTGTTTTTTTTATGTGACCACAAGAGAAATGAGCGATGTATATTTTCCGTAAGATATTCGTCATTGGTGGAAATATTATGTATGTAATTTGTTAACGCTATTTGCTCAAACAGACTTGGGATTGAGATGAATGCATGATTGCTTTATCTTGACTGTTGAGTTCTTGAATTATGTAGCGATGGTTTTTACCTTTAACTAGCTTTGATCGACAGTGGAACAGACAGGGAACTACCATAGTCAAAATTTCACAAGTATGTAGTGTACAAGTACAATATTTAAAACAAATTGGTTGTCCAAGCTTTCGATCCATGGCGATTAGAGAGTGACAAATTTGTGAAGCGGCTTTGAAGATGATTCTATTTTGTCAACCAACAGTACTCTGTCATATTCATAATACTAACGGAAGCAATTTCGATGAAGATTCTGCCGATTCGATTATATATTACATTGACTTGTCTACACAGAGAATCATTTGTGTGGTTACCATTGTAGATACAAAATCAGACCCAGGGGAAAGTTGTTAGTGAAGAGTCTCAGCACAGTACATTTCGCATCTGCGTGTAGTGGTTATATTCTTACATGATGAATTGTCGACAATTTTTTCTTCTTAATGGTGTGTGATGTCTCGTATCAAATGGAATATTGTTTAGGATTTTCATACATGGGAAACAGGATTCGAACACTCAAACAAACACACACTCAAGTAAGAATTGAAATTGGACTATAGTGTATTTCAGATGTGAACTCAACTCATTACCTACTTGTACCGGGGTGATCTATGTATTGAACCTGAATGTGAATGAGAAAATTCAGTAGTCAACGGGTTTTAATACAAGGTAATTAAAACTATGTATTTGTGTACCTTATGCATAATTTCATTTTCGTTCTCAGAAGCAAAACTCATGTGTGTTTATCAGTGCACCGTAAGCAACATATGTACATTCATTTCTTCAAATATTATTTACTTAACGATAAACCTGAGTTCTAGTACAAAAAAGAAAATGATTTATCACAGAATCAAACGAAACGTACACTGAATATTCAACATTAAAAATAAATGTCATGTGCCAAACAATTTTGGAAGAAAATGTATACTCGCTGAGTAATGAGCATAGAAAGATAAGGAAATCAAAGTATAGTAGCCCCGACACCATTTGTGTAGTCACATATACATATTGCTGTGTACAGTGCTTGTTACTTTACCAAGACTGGGCCAAATTTATTATGAGTTTGATGACTCCAGAACCTTGCAGTAGACACCAATACTTACCTGCTACATGATCACATTTTTCTGATCCATTCCACACCTTTTCTTTTACAATGCAATCGCATTACCAGAAGTCACATTTACCTTCAAGCCATCCTATTATTCGACACAACACTTTAAGCCTAAATACCTGTGATCTGCCCCAGCCTGAGTCTGGTAATCGCAGGCAGTCTTTTTAAAACGTGATGCAACAGGTTAAAGGTGGTCGTATGTGATCAGAGGTGGTCACAGGTAGTCCCCAGACAGAAATCAGTTTCGCAGGGATTTGTTTTAATCGTTGAGGAAAAACAAGGGAAATCCCCAGGTTGCCACTAACGTAGTCGCAGATTATCGCAGCCTGGTCGTAGCCTGGTCGTAGGAGATATTGCGAACAGTCTTGCGCCAAGTCTTAGCTGATAACAGGCTCGTTAATTGCCCAAATCACTGTTCTGCGGATCCAATCATCAAATTCGTAATATTCGCGGGAAGGCCGCGCGACGGATCAGGAGGAGTTGCACGATTGGCCATAACCCCACTACTAACCGCAGTCAATCGCTGCCAGCACGGATCTTCTACGTACTAGTCCATATCAACATTGGCTCGTTTGGTAATAGCCAGTTGATTAGCAAGTAGTGCGACAGGCCATAACTAGTTTCATAACTGGTATTACAATGAGACAGCTAGGCTCCAATAATAGACAATTTAAGGCCAGTCGCGACGGACGTGCAGGAAGTCGTAGGTCATAAAGGGTACAGGTTTTTATTAATGATCAATGCTGAACAAACATACATGCTCAATTGGTGATGAGAAATATGTATATATTAGAGTGTTCTGTGTGGCTGGAAACTTAAATTTAGATTCAAATTGAGTGTCAGTTGATGCGATTATAAAAAAAGAAAAAAAAAAAAAAAAAAACGAACGCAGTGTAATTCAAGGAGTCATCTTGATCATGTTATATCATGTTGAAATAATGGACATCGTGGCGGTGGTCTTCTGATGTTATTAATGATGTTTTATTTTTCATGCCAAATAGCTGTTCATAAGTCAGATGTTTAAAAAAAAGCCAATGTATATATTTATATGTAAAAAACATGTAACAAATTGTAACATAAAAAAATGATGTATTGATTATTCGTTGTACAAAACAATTGCACGAAAACTCTGTATAATTCACTGCAATAAATGGAACAAAAATAAACATAGTCATATCTCTTTTTTAAACCTATGTTGGATTGGAAAAAAAAGGAATGGTTGGTAAAGCAGGAAAAAAATCACGGGTTTAAAATAGTAATACTACTACTACTACTACTACTAATAATAATAATAATAATAATAATAATAATAATAATAATAATAATAATAATAATAATAATAATAATAATAATAATAATAATAATAATAATAATAATAATAATAATAATAATAATAATGATAATAATAATAATAATAATAATGATAATATGTGTCTGTGTTTCCAGGGTAGCTTAAAGGGATAGTTGAGTTCTATTTTCACACCGCAAATACGTTCAAAGTGCATGGTTATTGCTCTTATTTTTATTTATGACATTTATAGTGCCCTTTTAGGACCTAAAATTACTATGAAGGTAATTTTAGACCCCAAATTGTGTGAAATATAGCCAACACGAAAAAGCCAACATCGGGATTGGCTGAAAAACGACGTAAAAGGCGCTATTTCGTTTTTTCAACGGTTTTTCCAAATTATCGAATATTTTTGGGTGGTACACAAATATTAGAAATCGTTATATTTATGAATATTTCAGCCGTCTCTGAACCGATTTTGATCAAAGATATTTTTGTCATTTAAATTGTATGCTCTTTCAAATTTGATACTCACTTCTTCATTATCTCACACAAAATATTTTGTGTAGCGCCCTCTGCAACAGAACTCAACTATTCCTTTAATCAGCATTGATACTGTTCTCCCAGAGACCCCTGCTATTTGAATGTTATTAAATCAATAAACCATATCAAATCAAATCAAATATTGATTGAGAAAACAGAATCACATTTAAGTATCTATAGACAGATTATCGTTTCACCAGGGCTTGGCTGAGAGCTAAAACCTAACCCTACTAAACTTCTAGTATACCTTTCCAAACACACGTGAGGCCCTAAAGATGCAGTGCAGAAGGTTCTAAAGGGCAGATTTTCTCGTTCACTTCAGGCATTTCATTCAAAATGCATGCCGGGTTTACTCCCCCCCCCCCCCCCCCCTCCCGTCGACTGACCGCATATATATATATACATTTAAGTTAAATCAAAATCAACTGTATACTCTCTATTGATCGTTACCCTGTCGACCAAGTGCTTATCTTTTGATAAGGACACTTAGCTGACTTTTATTAAAATGATAATTATATGGGCACTGTGTCTTTTTTTAATTTTCGTTCAGGTTTGTTTTACCTTAATGCTAAGAAAGCATGTGTATGCTTCTAAGTAAGCAACCGCGGGACCGACGGCTTTAAGTCATCTCCGAGGGACTTAGTAATGAGGATCAATGCCCACCAAAGGGCACTATCGCATCGACTTGGTTTCGAACCCGGAACCTCCAGATTACGAGACCACTGTTCTAACAATGAGCCGTCGCGTCTCAAGTCTAACAGGCATTCTAACAAATAAGGGGTACCGGATACTAAATTTCCAGCTTTCTGAGTTCAAATCGAAATGTACTGCTCAAGGAAGCGTGTATTGTTTTCACCTTGCACAGCTCACACTATGAACATGACGGACAAAGAAAGAGGACAAAATATACAGTTCTTCAGGTGAACAAAGGAACATCCCTTCACTGCTATATGTAAAAATGTGTAGAACAGGTAAATATGCATCTGACACCTGTTCTACACATTTTTACATAATAGCAGTGAAGGGATGTTCCTTTGTCTACCTGAGGAACTGTATATTTTGTCCTCTTTCTTTGTCCATCATGTTCATAGTATCAAGTCTTGATGTCAAAGTTAAATCTAGTCTTGTAGACTTACACCTTAAGCTACGGTCACATCACCTAAAAGTTGCCTGCTCAGCGGCCGGGCGACGAGTTTTGAGCCAATTTCGCCCATGCACCGAGCGGCGGCCGCCCGGGCACCGTTTTTTTTTAGGGCATTGCTCGGTCGCTGCTGAAGTTTTAGCACGGAATTAAAATTCGGGCGGCACCTGCTCACTTTCACTCGCCGCCCAAAGTATGCTCGGTGCCTGAGCGGTCGCCGTCCGGGCACCGATCGAGCGTTCGCCGTCGAGCGATTTAGGTCAAAGGTCGAAGCCGCTAGATCAAAGGCTGCTGAGCGTTAGCCGCCCGGTCGCCGCCCGGTCGCCGCCCGGTCGCCACCCAGTCGCCGCTGGGAGTTTAGTCGGTCACTGGGCGGCGATTTCAAAATAGGTCAGCAACCTTTGACCTAGCAGCTTTGATTTTTGACCTAAATCGCTCGACGGCGAACGCTCGAGTGGGTCGGTGTCCGGGTGGCGAACGCCCGGGCACCGAGCGTATTTTGGCGCCCCGCCGATCACCGGCCGGCTGCCGGGCAATTTACTTAAAATTAGCCAGCGGCCTGTGGGACAGCGCTCGGTTATCGGTCGGTCATCAGTCGGTCGGAGAAGCTCTCCGATTTCGCCCAGTTTTGACCTAAAATTGACCGTCGACCGATGGGAAATCGACAGGGCACCGCCCAGGCATCGCTGGGGCTCTACAGCCTGCTCGTTGGGCGATTTCTAAATTCCAGCGACGACCGAGCAGGCTACTAATCGGTCGGTCGCTGTTCTGATTTGTGACCATAGCTTTACTGTATCAACTTCAATAACTCGATACTCAGATATTTACGCGTAATCTCGGTTGAGCAAAACGCCATTGCTCTTGCCGCTCTCACGTTATCTTGCTCGCTTCTATGTTAGAAGACATTGTCCTCATAGCCATGTTTAAAAGAAATCTCGCTTTAATATTCCTCTCTCCACTTAAATATCTTAGCAGACCGATTGAATTTACATAGATTTATCTTAGTTTCCGAAAAGTATCACATTACTATTATTCAAATGAAGTTCATTGACCAAATGGGCAAACATTCGGCGGCTAAAAGCATTTTCAAAACCACATAAAAAATATATATATAAAAACGTACGGTGTCTTTTCCTTGTTGGCGGAAAATCAAAGTTGCATTGGCTAATTGGTAATGGTCGGCCTCTACAGTGAATCACCCTACAATTACTCTCATCACATTATCAATACGTTCACGAAGTCGTTTTACCAGAAATATGAAAATCATATGAATTTTGAGCTATATGTTTTATGGTGGCATTAATAAATATTTTCACTGGACTTATTCAACTGGCGGTGGCAAGTCCAGAACAAATGTATGTTTACTTACAGAGTAGAATGACGCTTGACGTTTTATTTCCATCCAACCCCCCCCCCCCCCTCTCTCTCTCTCTCCCTCTCTCTCTCTATCTCTCTCTCTCCTTCACACTCTAATTCTTTCTAACTTCATTATTTATTTATTTTTATCTGTACCTCCTTCTTTCTCTCTTCCCCTTTCTCTCTTTCTTTCCTCGGTGCCTTTCTCATCCCCCCTCTCTCTCTCTCTCTCCCTCTCTCCCTTTCGCCCTCTCCCTCTCCCCTTTTCATTCTTTCTCTCTTTCTCTCTCTTTCTATCTCACTCTCTTGCTCACCCTCTCCCTCTCTCTCCTTCTCACCCTCTCTCTCTTTCTCTCTCTCCTTCACACTCTAATTCTTTCTAACTTCATTATTTTTTATTTGTTTTATCTCTACCTCCTTCTTTCTCTCTTCCCCTTTCTCTCTTTCTTTCCTCGGTGCCTTTCTCATCCCCTCTCTCT